TGATCACATCAGAAGTGGTGTTTGTGCTGGTCAACAGCACTGTCCAACAGAAGACAAAGGTAGTCTCTCAGTACTGCTTACCTTTAAGAAAGAAAGACTTCCAGAGAAATTTTTGACATTTTGTCTACATCCAACGCATATGGCACCCTTTAGCTTCAATATGAGATGCAGATATATGGGCCAGAAGGTGCCTCCTAGTGGTCTAACCCTAAGTCCACCTGTGGTCTAACCTGTGGGTAAAAGAGGGTAATATTAAAGTTATACATTTTTAAAACCCATGTAATCCCAGAAATTTGGAAAGATTTGGAATGCAGACTCATTGGTGTGGTGATTTTAATGCACATAGCACTTTATGGGGTGATAAAGATGACGTAAATAGGAATGTATTGGAAGGATATGTAGAAGAGGAAGAGCTAGGATGTCTTAACGATGGATCATCTAGTACAGATGTGTATAGAGGGACAGAGTCAGCAATAGACTTAACCTTTGGTACTAGAAATGTGGCAGACAAATGTGAAGAGGGAATACAATGGATATGCCTTAATGGGGATCACTACCCTATAAAAGTATACAGGTGTTATAGATAGAGAAATATACAGGTGTTATAGATAGAGAAAGAGAATGAAGTGAAAGTAGAGAAGTGGTTTGTAGAGAGAGCTGACTGGGATCCGTTTGTAGATTTAAGTGTGGAATGGCTGTTATTAGATGGCAGTGAAAGTATTTAAGTGTTAACTAGTGAAATAAGGTCCAGCATTATAGCAGTGGCAGATGCCACTATACCAAAATCCAAACCAAAGTGCTTGAATAAAATAGTGCCATGGTGGTCAAGAGAGTGTACGGAAGTTGTTAAAGAAAGAAACAAGGCATTCAGATTAGTTAAGAGAACACACGATTTCCAGCATTTGACTGAGTACAAGAGAGCGCAAGAAATGGTAAGGAGAAATATCAGGAAAGCAAAAAGGGAGTATTAGAGGGCATTTTGCCACTCTTTAGGACGAACTATTCCAATAAAGAAGGTTTGGGGGATGCTTAGGAAAAGGAAATAGCAAGGAATATTGGCATCCTGTATTGATTAATGGAGTTGACAATATACTGTAACATCTAGTAAGGAGAAAGCAGAAATTATAGGAAAAACATTAGCTAAAGTACACAGTTCAGGAAACCTAATGAGAAAAAGGGAGAGAAGAAACTGTGCATAAATATCGAAGGGTGTTTGAGAATGGAGATGGGGAAAGGAGAATTGAATGAAGGACTGAGGAAATGAGGAAAGTTAGCTCCAGGGAAAGATACTATATGCTACTCTGTGTTAGAGAACTTGGGTGATAGTGGTAAGGATGTCCTACTGAAGTTGTACAATAAGATATGGGAGGAGGGATCATCCCTAAAGAGTGGAAGGAATCTATTTTTGTACCAATTAGGAAGCTGAAGACCCTCATAGTCCAAGCAGTTATAGACCTTTAGCATTGAGATCACTGATGGGTAAGACAACGGAGAAAATTATAAATTATTGGCTGGTGTATTGGGTGGAGTCAAAAGAATGGTTGCAATGGTACCAGAGTGGATTCAGAAGGGAAGGGGGTACTAGTGGTATGCCTGGAGGAAGCAATAAGAAAGGCCCAAGTGAATAAAGTGTCAGTATTTTTTGACATAGAGAAAGCCTATGTGGATAGAATGACTATTAATTAAATTAAAACAGATGGGAATTAGGGGGCGGATGTATCAGTGGATCAGAGCTTTCTCATCTGACGTTGACAGTTAGAATTGATGGGGAACTAAGTGAGAGTTTTAGAGTTGAAAATGGTACCCCTCAAAGAAGCATTGTGAGTCCTTTCTTATTTGTAATTATGATAGACCAGATATTTAAAGACTTGCAAGGTCTAGATGGAGTAGCGTTATTTGTGGATGATGGTGCAATGTGGAAGATGGGGAGGACCATTGAGTTTATTGTGAGTAAGATGCAAGATACTGTGTATAAAGTTCAGCAAAGGGGAGTAAAATGGGGATTTAGGATCTCAATAGAGAAGAAAAAGGTTATGTTCTTTACAAGAACAGAAATTAGCCAAGAATTAAAAATAATGATGCCAGGTAAATAACTGGAGAGGGTTGAAATCTTTAAATATCTGGGAGTCTGGAATCTGGGAGTGGAAGGTAACGAACTGGCCAATGAACATGCAAAGAGAGCAATGGGGACAACTAATATGGATATAGATTTGAAATACAGAAAAGCAGAGATAAAAAGAATAGTTAAGGCCATACCATTGAAAAGTGGCAACAATTTGGGACAATGGGTGATCAGGAAGACATCTATATAGGATACAAGGGAAAATGGGAAAAGACACACACACACACACACACACACACACACACACACACACACAGATCTAGACAGGAAGAAATTGTGCTGACTAGGATGAGGTTGAGTCATACAAAGCTGAATAGTATGCTGTTCTTCATGAGAAAGCATGGTGATGGAAATTGTGAGTATTTCCAGAGCCATACACCTGAAACAGTAGGGCATAGTAGTTTACTGTCATAAATCCAATCAGGCAAGGCAAAGGCTTGTTACTCAGCTGGAAGAAAAGAAAGTGTCTTTAGATACTTATGCTGCATTCACGTGCTATGGAAAGTAGGATATTTTCCACTGTGAACTGGTATTTACCAGTGTGTTGCGTTCAAGTGCTTTTGTTGTCATAATGTGGTAAAAAGATGGAGATCCAGACCTGTTATTTAGCTCAATCTATTTTAGATTGCTTAAGTAATCTGCAACAGCAAGAAAATGATTGATCAAAACTCAAAAGGTAAATAATATGCTATATTTTCTAGATCATGAATATATTTTTACCATTCACGACTCTTGCGGTACTCTCCGCCATTTTGAAAAGTTCAAAGGTTATCTCATCTCGGCAACTCGTCCATCAAAATATTCTACGAGTTGCCCAGTAGAAAATACCACATGAGGGGGTGTTCATGTGCATTTTCCACGTCGGCTTTTGGTATTTACCATAATTACCATAGCACATGAACGCAGCATAAGACCTTATGGAAAGAAGTTTGGGAGGAGAAATGTTTGGTTTCTTACTTTCTTTTTTGAAAAGTACAGGCCTTTTTAAAAAGATGTAAATTCTACTTTATATGTTTGGGATTGTTTGTTTGTTTGGTTGGTTATTTTGTTTGTTTAAAACAGTACAGTCTCCAGTTCCTAACTCCAGTCCAGTGGTGGTGGTAATGCACAAGAAATAGTTGCTAACCGCCAATTAAAAAAGAAGAAGAATGTCAAGTCTTGTCTAGTATTGTTTCCTGCAACCTCTGTTGCGTAAGTTTATGTCCACGGTTTTCTTTCATGCAATGTCATGCTTCTGTTTCATGTTTGATCTTGTTATGTTATTGTTGAATAAAAACTGCACTTGGGTTCTCGCTACAACTTGCCCTACAACCATGAACCGAGCAGTTGCCCTCCTAAATCTGCTTCAAGGAGACCTCACCATAGATGATTATGTGGCAGAATTTTGTGAACTCTCACCACTTGGACTTTACTGATGTGGTCTTTAAGGACATATTTAGGGTATAGGCTTAAATTAACCTCTTCGGTCATGTATGGTGGGCAGTAGGCCCCTTGATGGGACCATGGAGGCCATGCCGCAATAGCCACTTGAACTGCCTGGTCTGCCCTGAGTCCCTGCACTGTCTGGTCCGCCCTGGCTCCCTGCACTGCCGGATTCGCCCTGGCTCCCTTCACTGCCGGGTCCACCCACGCCATGCCACGGCCCAGGTCCGCCCACACCACGCCACGACCCAGGCCCGTCCACGCCATGCCACGTCCTGTGTCTTGTCCCCCTGCATGGGCCTGGCCCACCATCTCTCCCTCAGACCTCCTCTAATCCACCACCCTCCTGAAGTTATGTTTTGTGTTGGTTTTGCCAGGCGTTGGGAGCTGTCCTTAGAGGGGGGATCTGTCAAGATGATCTTGTTGTATGTTATTGTAGAATACATTTTGCACTTCAACTCGTCATTTCAATATGGTTGTTCTAGCGCTGTGCTGGAATTTATTTTCAAGGAAGAAGCATGTCTATTATTGGGTAAAAAAAAAGTCTTAATCAGCTTGAGATCCTTTCCATATAAACTGATTATATCTCTTAAGCCTACAATGAATGTTTATGAGCAGTAGGATACAGAGTACACAGAGCCAGAGCACAATCACAAATGTCTTTCGTAAAATACATGCAGTTTTTTAACTGCTAGAGGGCCAAAAATCACAAAGTGTACCTTAAATGAATTTAAACAAAATGAATGAATTATACAATAATTATAGTAATTAATATGTAATTATATAATGAGTTGGCTAATAACAATGATAATAATTCGACCAAACTGTGAGTAGGCTAATAACAATGATAATAATTCGACCAAACTGTGCAGCCCTACAAACAAAAACGGCAAATCTACTATAAATGCAAGGCAAATCCCAAATAATATTTTATATAAAATAATACAAATTCGATTTTATCCCCAAATCATGGAGCTCTACATGGAACCACACCAGGGTGTTTATTTTAGTGCACTATCCCTTTAACGTTGGTGCTATCAATACCTACAGATACCTGCTACCTAGTTTAGTGGTTGATTGAGATTTGCAGACAAAACAATGGCATCTTGAGACAAAACAATGTCATCTTAAAATATGTCAAGTTGCTTTTAGTCAAAACAGCTCAAACATGCATATTAGTCAGGGACTAGGTTTAAGCCTTGTCTGTGAAACCAGGCAATTACCAAATGGCCATATGAAGTTGAGAAATTTTATAAAATATGTGACTTTTTTTATCCCTAAATATTTGATTCCAAATAACTGTTCAGACCTATGGTTCAGACTAAATAACACATTTAACATCCAAAAGAACATGTAGTTCTCAGTGTGTATATATATATATTTTATTTGTTTATTTATTTATTTATTTGCCTGCATATATTTCTAATGTGAAATAGCCTCGGTGTCCACTAGGAGGCTTGACTTGCAAGGTATTTGTCTGGATGCAAACATTTATGGCGTAAACTGTAAAATATAGATGAAACGATGCTTTAAAGGACACGAATCGTTGCTGTTGGAGGATTCGGCGTTTCTTTGGTGAGAATGAGTACATATGCGCATATAAACTCTACAAACTTATTTAAATATTTCGGAAAATCAAACAAACAGTTGGGCGAGCTAGGCTAAGCTAAGCTAACACGGGCTTGTCGTATTATTTTCTCTCGCAATTTGTGTTTTAGTACAAGGGTTTGTATGCAGCACAAAATTAGAATTATTTGTAAACGGTATAATTTATGCGTTTTGAACAGGGTATATCGAATATGAAAAGGGTGGACCAAATGCTTTTCTTTTAATCATAAACAGCCCGTTAGCCGTTATTAGCTGCGCTCACTCAGTGCTGCGTGCTACACAATAAATAATCCAAATGCTGCCAGGAGCAGCAAAATAACGCCTATTATAGTGTTAAAATGGGCATATAACCATTTTTTTGCTCTTAGCCATTCAATATCATTTATAAAAGGAGTTGGCAGACATTAGCGCTGATAGTGTCAGTTTTAGTGGGGGTGATTACAGAACAGATTTAGGCTGCATCCCAAAACCTAGCGAGCTGCCTACCTAGACAACATTTTGGGAGATATGGGCGTGTTCAAAGTTTTGATTCTAGTGAGCTACCTACCTAGACTGCATTGTAGGGCATCATATAACATTACTGATATTATAATGTTAGAACTCACCCATTATTGTCCAATATGCTGTCTAGCTATGCTGCTTCTTAGTTTATGCAGACAGCCATAGACATTGGCCTAATCTGCTGCAGGATTAATAGAGCAGTAAACAGCAGACACAACGCCCCAGTTTCTTTCCTAAAGTAATCTGAGACATTATAAAATGTTTCCCATATTTCCTGAGATATTCAATAAGAAAAACATTTGAAAATGGTAGATATTGTGATTATGGCACCAGCTTTGATTTCTTGTCCATTCGTCATTGAAATGACCATGTTGGGACTTGACTAATGACATATCCATGAATGACAGAACTCTTCCATTACATTCAGTGTATCCGGTCTTTAAGTTCATTGTTGTCAATCTCTTCTTTTAGTAGATTATCAAAGATCAACAGTGTCCTCTCTGTTGGCCAGTCTAGTGTGCATCTATGAACTCCTTACTGCCCTCCACTTCTGCCGTCAGTAGCCCTGTCAGCTCCATAGATTCGCCACTGTCAGCCGTCAGCTCGTCCATCGGCTCTCCCGGCGTTCCCGGCACCCCATCCGTCGGCTATGGACCCATCACCAACTCTCAAGTGAGCCACACATTTTTCTCCATACAGGGCTCCAGAGTCCAGACTAACTTTTTTTTTACTAGGAGCACAACTGAACTTTTTGGGGGCACAACCAGAAAATTTAGGAGCACACACACCGTAAATCAACATACTAATCAAATATTCATATTTCGAATAATTTCCAATACATTACTAATATACTTTGATAATAGATGCAGCAATTACAATGCCTTTGTGCTCTGATTTAACGTTACATCCTCTTTTCTTCTAAACGCAACCGGCAGTGGCATTGCTCCTTACAGTACTACCTCAACCAGCTGAATTCTTGGGGTTCGGCCTTTTTCGCCATGCAAACCTCTTACTCCGAATCATCATCTGACTGCGACGCTGTACTAGGGCTGCAATGTTTTAAATAGCTCACGGTTCAGTTTGTATCACAGTTTTAGGTTCACGGACTTGGTATGTGCTATGTTCAGGGAAAAAAAAGACTACTATCAAATAAAATTAAGAAGCAAAAAATCTAATCACAAATAAATACAATAGAGCAAAGATGCTAATAAAATAAACTATACTTTTAAGGTAGGTCATTAGTTTTTCAGGTTCAGAAATTGAATAAAATTATCAAATGTAAAATAACATTTCATATTTGACTGTATAAATTAAAGATTAATCCTTAAAGTTATAAAAGCTATTCAATTCAGAGCTGATTCAGTAGGCCTACACTGATACTGTGAGTGTCTTTCTTGATCATATAAGTTCACTTGAGGCATAACAGACTATGTCTGCTAGGATACTTTTCTAGACGGACATGTTGACATACATTTTTCGTGAATTTGTCCATTCAAGTGCAAGACTTGAAAGAGAACTATATTTGCGTGCTGTCTGAGATGAGTAGCCTACACATACACACACAGAGACACACACGGGCATGTACGCACACACATGCGTGCACAAATCTTTTAGATGCGAGTTCTCTCTTGCATCTTGCTCTTGAATGTTTACATTGACAAGGCTTAAATGAGTTTAGTTTAAACACTGATGCAGTTCACATCTGCAGTTCAGTTCAGGTGCGCACACAAAAATCTCTGCAAAAGATGCTTTCCAACAGTTTAGACCCATTTTTCCGAATGCCTCACAACCATAGATTCTTTCGTTGAGAGCTTGAATAATAGACACTCCATCCCAATTGGTGGCGATAATGCACCTTTGCCAATTGCAAGCAAACCACTTAGTGTAGCCTACGATACCACGACTGCATAAGACTACAGAAAGAATACAAACAACCCCATTTCTGTTTCTGGCGGCGGAGTAATACCATACATAGGGCCCTATGATTTCCACGATAACGAAATCGCGGACAGAATCGCGGAATTGGCCAATTAACGCGGAATCTAGTGTTAACACGTAATTTCATGGATTTTTACATATTTGGTTTGAAATTCTGTTTTTGTGTGGAAGATGAACGCATGTCTGGTGGAAATGCCGACCGGGGGAAGCAAATCTGGGCGACACAAACCCCTCAACCCGTCATTTCAGCTCCAATGACGAAATCAAAACAATGAAAGCATGGCGAAGCGGCTCGCCACAGCTCTCCTTTCGTCGGCAAAAAGTTAAGAAACTCGATGCTATAAGCCGTCAGTGCCGAGCCGAGCAGTTCGCACGTGACTTATGCAGTGTTTCCCACACATTGACTAATTCACCGCCACATACTTCATTTCGCTTTTTAACACTATTTAAAACACGCAGCGTATTCTTTCAGTTGTATTTCTCCGCTCTCCCTCCGTCTCTCTCTCACTCACGCGTCTCTCACACACACACACACACACGACGTGCACACCACGCCTGTCTATGATGCGCCGGACTGGACAAAAGTGAAGCGAACTTCTTGAGAGACGGTGTGTGACTTTATTTAAACTTATAAATGAATATAATTTATATTACTGGACAGTTTAAAGCTCATAACCATACTTTGTTGTTACTTGAAGAGTGCAGTGTTAGGTTGCGTCATGCAGTATTTGTCCTGAAAAGGCTACTGAGTAAATGTCTGTATTACCTCAATAAATTTAAGGTCATTCCTAATTTATTTGTATTTTTAATACATTTTAATCATTAACTTTAAAAGCATACTATTTTTACAACTAAAATAACAGTCAAGGGTAAAAAAAACCTAATTCCCCAAAATTAAAACGGAATTTGAGAAAAAATAAAACGGAATTTGGGAAAAAATAAAACGGATTTCATAGGGCCCTACATACACCACAGAACATACAATACAAGTCCATGGAGTTGTACAAAAAATACGATAAAACCTGCTGGAGAGCATCTTTTGCAGCGATTTTTGTGTGAGCATATCAGTGAACACCACAGACTCGGTGAGTTTCACATTTTTGTAAACTAAAGTTTTATACTAAAGTAGTAAACAATCTTAACCATTCTATTTCATCAGAATCGATCTTAAAACAGGGCTTTAATTGTAAAATACCGTACTTGTCCTTTAACTGGCACACTAGCCGCAGGTCGGAAGAACAAGTCAATAGTTGGTTTAAACGCATGCTCAATTATCTCTAGGACCCTCCCCCTCCACATATAAGCCACTTACAGTGGCCATTCCCTATTATTCTCACACTCATTGGCCTGCCACACATTCCGGATTCATTTATAAGCCCCTTCCATGTTTAACATGACATTTAACGTGTAAAAAAAAAAAAAAAAATACTGTTTGCACTTGAAACGCACTCTGAAATTTTGGTCGCAAAATGTAACTATTTGATCGTAGTCTGGAGCCCTGCCATATGATAGAAGTACCATATTGCTAGTCTTTTGTTGTGTTCCTGATGACTTTTTTGTCTAATCATCACTTCTTGTTTATTTATCTCTTGCAGATAAACTCCTCAATGTCTGTGTCTGGGTTACATGCTGTCAGCAGCTCTGATGATGTGAAACCCCCCTTTGGCTTGAAATCTGTCAGTGGCTCTGGGCCAATGCTGTCCCAGAAACGGATGTGCGCCATTTGTGGGGACCGCTCCTCCGGTATGTATTGATACTTGCATATAGAACATAGAACTTTCAGATTGGCTTTCTATTAGTGATGGACCAAAAATTTTTAACCAACATTTTCATTTAGCCGAGAACCCAAACCATTTGAACTTGGTTTGCTTGTTATGGTTAAGTTCTTTTGCAACAAACTGTTTCTCAATATTTCAGCTAAACATATTTTACACATTGATATTCTAGTATTATTTTTGGTCATGATTTTGATCTGATCAATTAATTGGTTATGTAGGTACAGTACACAGAAGTATAGGACACAGTCTCTTCTCTTCTCTGACGACGTGATTACATGTTTGAGGGCTGGACAACCTGTCACTGACATTAGATCACAGCAATAGCAAACCTCAACCATCCAATGATCCAATCAGTTTCCAATGGACAAAATCAAGTCCCATCCCCAAAATATGTTTCACTTGCCACACAATAGGAAAGAAAAGACTATTGCAAATTCTGTTTCATGCCACTTTAAATTCAGTTGCTATTTTAGTTTTAGATATAATAATCATCACTTATTCAAATTTGAGTTTTATACAGACATTTATGGTACAGAGCTGATGAACCTGAGTGGTTGTCAAACGTTCTAAGGCAGTGGTTCTCGATAGGGTTGTGCCGATGGACGGTGATGACTGACCGACATCACGATAGAGAGCCACTATTGTGATGCACACCCCCCACCCAGACACATACTAATCTTAGTCTCTAAACTTTGCCGGGATTGCTCTGTAAATTAAATTGAGAATATAACTACATATGCTTGCTGTTTTAAATACTGTAGTCTAGTGTTGTCAAAAAACTCGGTACTTCGGTACCAAGTCGGTACTAAAAAAAAAAAAATGTTACGGTACCTGCTTTTCTGGGTACCGAGTACCAGGTTAATCCAGTTCTGTTCTAGACGCGATGTCTGAAACGTGCACAGTTGCGTCCTCTTTATAACGCTGATATGGCTCTCTCTCTCTGAATCCACTTGTTGAAACGAAAGGAGGAAAGAGCCACATATGGTAATATTTTGGATTAGGCTAATGTCACGTTGCCATAAGAGGCCGATTACATGCAAATTCGCAATTTCAAATATAGGCGCGATTCAAGCGCGCTCATAATAAAAACTCGTTGGCGTTGCATAGCAACGACAGACGCCGCGTGAGAGCAAGCGCTTTGGAAAGAATAAGCACGCGCAAAAATATAATTAAAAAACACGCGCGACATGTGAACGGCCTCTAAAGTGCTTTCGGGGTAGTTTTACGAGTACATGAGCACAGTAGTATCCACCCGACACCAGAGTACTACTGGTATTAGTATTGTCATTTAATGTCAGTGCCAGTTCTAGGCGTATCCTTGCCTTTATAACTCAGCAGGTTTAAAAAGCCTTTTTAAAATTAAATATGAATGCAGTTTTAGATTAAATAAAAGGACAGTCAAGTCAAATAAAACATGTTTTATGGTAATGCTACAAAGATACCATTCATCAACATTACTTAGTTATCAACACATTGAGTAAACAATATATTTTTACAACATTAATTAATGTTTGAAAATGTTATTTATTACAAACACCTGATTGTTCATGTTTGTTCACTTAATTCATTGTGCATTAAATAAATAATGGATTAAAACTTTACAAACAACTTTAAAAATGTGTTAGTGTATACTATTGTTTATTTTAGGTCATTTTATCTAATCTTTTTCTAAAGTGTTTATAATACAAATGTACAGTTTCCATACTTGTAACCGTGATAAACACTTAAATATATGTAAATTTAAACTAAGCTTTGGTACCGAAATTGGTACAGAGAACCGTGAATTTTAACTGGTATTGGTACCGAATACTGAAATTTTGGTACCGTGACAACACTACTGTAGTCTATGCCTGAGACGTGACACGCCCGTTTCACACATACTCCGTGTGCGGTACAGGAGCAGCACGCATTTAACTGTAATATTTAATTTTGTACAATAAAACAGCCCGTATTAATGAATTATTAGTAGCCTATTGTAGTGTCTCAGGAAATCTTGCTCATTGTCTCACAACCCCAAAGCAATGTTTTACTGTAAACATCGTCAATTGCCAATTTAGGGGACTTCGCCTAACCCTAGTTCACAACGATATGCCAACCACATTTAAAAAATAGATTCCAGTTTTACAATTTATTTTTAAATTAGTTTGAACTATAATGTTTTTTTTTTTTTTTTTTTTGCCATATCAAATTATTTTGATGATCGTATTATTTTCAGACATGCGGAGACCTACTATGTTCAGATTAGGGTTGGATTAGCTGCGTAGCAAAGACGCAGTGGGAATGAAATATCAAACTGGCTAACTAGTAAATGACAAGATAACTTACATGACTAGTTAAAGCAGACAAAACGTGGGAACCTGTAGCCATGTCCATTTTATACATGGTAGTAGTCTTTATTAATCTCCAATATAATTACATTGTTTGATATAATATTGTTTTATTTGATATTATGTAAATATGAACTTTTATTTTATATTGGTTTATTTATTATTACCATATGTTACTTGTATTTGTATTGTAAGTTAATATTGTGTCCAGTTTGTCCCTGTAAATTAAGCGGTATTATTTTTTGACAAAGTGTGTGCGGTTTTGTTTTCTTAAGTACTGTTTCAAGAACCGTTTAGGCTGGTATCGGATAAAACCCAACTAACAAGTGTGCGCTTTGGCTGAATTCCAATGGTAGAAGTCAACCGATACCGATATTTAGGTTTGACCATGCATGCAACAGATGTTTTTAATTTTGCTAATTAAAATAAATTTTGATTTTTTTTGTGGGGCATGAAGTCTGTCCTGATACCTTAAAGAAAAATAAAAGCCTCATTAAAATGATATTCAAGAATAAATTTATTCTTGAATGACATTTAAGAAGGAATTCTTGAAAAGAAAACAGGAACAGTTTATTTGAGGTATTTTTAACCACAATGTACAATTAAATCAACAAAATTGTTAGATACACTGTACTTGTTGTGTTCATGTTGTATTGCAAAACACGTTTGCATCTATTGAGGTGGATACAAGTAAGGTTAGGGACAGGATTGGGTAGGATAAGTTCGGTATTTTACACTTAAAGCCCTGTTTTAAGATTGTTTTTGATGAAATAGAACAGTTAAGATTGAAATTTGGACACATGCTGTTAGCCCGAGGTTTCTGTGGTTGCATCCCCCCACCTCCACAAAGGTTGCAAACGTGCACTGGTAGAATCCTTCATAAAACGCATTAAACTTTAGTTTACAAAGACGTTAAACTCACTGAGTGGTCTGGGGTGTTCACTGATATGATCACACAAAAATCGCTTACAAAAGATGCTTATCAACAGGTCTTATCATATTTTTTTTGTCCAAGTCAAGAGTTGGACAAAAACTACGATAAAACCTGTTAGAAAGCATCTTTTGCAGCGATTTTTGTGTGAGCATATCAGTGAACACCCCTTACAGAAATATATATATATATATATCAGCTTTTGAAATTGAATTATATGTATATATTATATTATATTATATTATATATATATTATATATATATTTCTTAATCATTGTTTTCAATTTCAAAAGCTGATATATATATATATATATATATATATATATATATATATACATATAATTCAATTTCAAAAGCTGATATATATATATATATATATATATATATATATATATAATCAGCTTTTGAAATTGAATTTGAAAACAATGATTAAGACCTTTACACTCACATGTATTCAAGTTATAAAATATATTAATTGATGGTTAAACCACACATCATTTTTGCAGTCATGAAGCTTTCTTGAAAATGGTATAAAAGTTTATTTTTTAAATTAAGAGTACATTACTAAAAATATGTAATTTGTTTTAAACTAAATGTTGGAAAGATTTTGCTGTGAACTTTCTTTTTTGTCATTGACTCTAAAGCATCCTTGGAAAGAGGATGTTGTTTACAGTGAATGTTTAAAAAAAGGTAATGTGAACATGGTTTGTGTGTGCAGGGAAGCATTATGGCGTGTACAGCTGCGAAGGCTGCAAGGGTTTCTTCAAGCGCACGGTCAGGAAGGACCTGAGCTACACCTGCAGGGACAACAAGGAGTGTCTGGTCGATAAACGTCAGCGCAATCGCTGCCAGTACTGCCGCTATCAGAAGTGCCTGGCCATGGGAATGAAAAGAGAGGGTGGGTACCTGTCAGTCTCCCACTTAAACATATCTCCTGTAGTGTGAACTAATACAACAGCTGTCTGTTTAGTAATATTTAGGTACTGTAGATGGAGAATGGATGAGGTGAAATTTATGAAAGAAATTTTGGTGCAAAACGCCTTTGTGCAGCTCTCATACATGGAATGTGTAGTTGTAGAGAATAGCCACACATGTGTATCAGTAAATTTGAAATTTTTATCTTCCACAAACACAACACAACAGTTACACCTCATTTTTTTTTATTGCAGGTGCACAAATTCTCTTCTACAAATAACAAATTAAGAAACTCACATTTATTGCTGCAGTGAATATGGTGCAAAACGCATTCAAACACCTGTATCAAAATATGTGAAGTCACAGAGAAATCTGCAAATCAGTATGTGACTTCATTCAATGTGTTGCACACTTGTAGAATATTTTCTACAGTGAATGCCATAGAGTTCAAAAGGTGCAACACGCGCACATCCAGAACCATAAAACTTGGGTGCTGGGCAGACAAGTAGTTGCAAAAGTAAACAATGAACTCCAGAAAATGCTCCTTAGCAATTTTAATTGTTGCTCACCACGTGTAACATTTCGGGCCCAGGACAAAACATATAGGGAGATTTATTACAACAGTCACACAAGCCATCACTTCCTCAGCCATTGTATTATTAGTGTAATAATAATATAATATAAAACGAACTTGGGCAAAAACTACGATAAAACCAGTTGCAAAGCACCTTTTGCAGCAATTTTTCGTGCAGCAATTTTTTTTGTCATGTCATGGACTAAACGATGCACATTCATGTCTTTTTGTCGGGATGTCCTGAAGCGTCGGAGACACGGCATCGATTGTCATTGAACATGACACACTATAGGAGATAAAATTATTGATTATTGCGTCCTGACACTCATTGTCGTTTACGAATCACCACGACACTCTGTCAAAAGAATCGTGCTAAAATCAGGCCTGTAGTCTAAACCTGGCATTACAGTACACTTAATACAGGGACAGTCCACCTACAGCAATCTGCCATTAAGTGTCTTGCTTAGGGACACAATGGTTGTTTTTGAATTGCATCTTTCGGTTTCCAGGCTAGAACTTGATCCACTCAGTGGTGTGGTACAGATGGCCTGGCTGATTCCTTGACATTTACAAGTATCTCATCTTATGTTCTGCACCAGCTGTTCAGGATGAGCGTCAGAAGAATAAGGAGCGGGATGGAGACTATGAATTCAGCAGTGCAGCCAATGAGGAAATGCCCGTGGAGAAGATCCTGGAGGCCGAGACAGTGGTAGAGCACAGAACAAACCTGCACTCTGATGCCACTGGTTCAGTGAGTGTACTTACATGCCACTGATAGCTGTCTATTACGCTATTTGTTTGGAAAGTCTACAGAACAAATAACATAACTAAAGAACCTGGCAACTTTTTTCAGGAGAAATGGAAAATAAGCACATTGTTGAAGGGTGCAGATGTACTTATATTAGCGGAATAGTATAATGTGTAATTTTATAATACCAGATATGCATGATTAATCGTTAAAATATGGCGAACTCATTCCTAAATGACAGAGATTCGCCTGTGTCTATTAAACCTTTGACAAAATCACACCTGAACATTCCAGTCTGAGAAAGCAGTTGTGATGTATAGGTATGAAACACCATCACAAACAGTCCTGTTCAATTTATATAATAATTATTATTTAAAATGTTAAACAATGTTTAGTTATTATAACACAGCATATAACACCAATTGAATGAACTATTTAATTATTTAAAGAAAGAAAATAATGATAATAATAATAATATTTTTTTATGTAATTGCATTTTAAGTAATATAGATTAATATTTTTTATTTTTTTTATCCAGCATAGCCAGCAATTTTCATTTTTCATTCAAACTTTCATTTCATTGAAAAAAAACTTTTTCAATGAAAAGTGTTTTTTTGCTCTTGCCCCCAATGTTACATAGAGCATGTTTAGATGCACATTCTTAAACGATTGTTTAACAAGCCAACAATGTTCTGCCAGCTTATTCAAGTGTGCATGTCTTACCATGTAACAGGAAAGGATCCTTGCTGCAAATTTAAGCACATCCAGTCAGAGTGAAATTATATTATCTACTCCGACTCTTTCTTGACCCCAAAAAATGAAAAAATGTCTTATCTCGTGCAGCTGAAGTAGAAGTGGAACAGCCAAGATACTAGCTACATTTGCAGAAACTGCAAGAGCTGAGAATAGGGGTCTGTACTAGTCTCCCATTATTGTTTGGGGGAGTTAGTGCTTAATTTAACAGCACAACCTGCATAACAAATAGAATATTATTGAGTCCGATTCCTCATTATTTTGAATGGAAGAAATCACCGACAGCCACCCTCTCTGAGATGAGATAAAAATGTCAGATTCATGAACGAGCTGATTCCTTCCTCTGGACCTGGACCTCTGAATTGGTTCACTGAACGATTCCTTTGTGAATTGGGCTGATCCGATTACAGTGGTTCTCGAGTCAACAACTCACTGATTCAGTGATCCGGTTAAAATGAGCCAAGAATTGGGATATGGCTTGAACGTGTTCGATATGGATGCTGCAAAAAGTAAGTTACTAATGCTGAATTTTTGACTGTCAGTTATTTGTGTAGTGAATTTGCTGTGAAGGGTGAGTTGTTAAAAGCCATTGAAATGCTTGTCTGCATTTTTGTGTCAAATTTAAGTATGTGACAATTTTTGGTAAAATAACACAAAATTAAGTATGTGTTCTGAGCTTGTCACACCACAGAAAAAAATGTGTTATTAGCCACCCAGCCAAATTTGAATGATAAAAAAGCCGGCAAGTACATAAAATAAGCTATCAAAATCTTGAAAAAAATCTGCTCTCAAACGCTGGGGGCATGTTCGCTGGCTGCGCTGAAACCACGCCCACTTGCGGGAAAGCTGCTGAGGGTGATATTAGGTGATACTGCTTTCTGGGCGGGGAGATGAAGGCCGAGGCGGGAGAAGGTTGTTTTTGGCCCCATTCACCAGTGAATTCCAGTTGTCTCTGACGAAAGTTTCTAAAACTATCCCATGTAAAATGATCACTACAGAGGCGGTGATCCTCAGCTCTCCATCAAGGTTGGCTCTTCAAAAAATGTATCCACCTCTTCTTGATGTGATCGTTTTTCGGAAATTTAAATGAAGACAGCGATCTGTTTTGTACAGGATCGCATCCAGGTCATGCATGCCGCACAGCGAAGGGGTGTCGTCCATCTTTTTTCACAGTCTATGATCCAGGTTGTAGCCTACGCATTTCCATGTTGAAGGCATAGCTAGCTAGCAAACTGTAGGTACTAATAGTACTGACAGTAACTCGCGATTGAGCAGCGAACTGATCATGCGAATGTGCTCTATTGTTAGGGGAGAGGCCAGCCTCAGTGGCCTCAGTCATTATTAAGTAGGGCCGTGTCCACGAGCTCAGGGGCTCCAGTGTGTCAGCGAGCCCTGTTTTAGCCCCGCCCAAAAAATCTGTGAAATGGCAATGGTGAAAAACTGTTTAACAGTCAACAATTCAGTACTTCACAGTTCACAGTCTTTTTAGCAATAGATTTGTAACATTTTATAATGGGTTTTTTAGAATTGCCTTACAGGGACTTGTTAAATTATTGTTCATGCATCTTCCCTGCTGCTATAGCTGTTCCAAATGATATAAAACTAGTAAATCTGCATACTGTTCATCTTAAAATGTGAACATATTTTGCCCCATGTGAAGTCTATACATTGTATTGTATTTGTAGCAACATATTTAGCGACAACACATGTTTAGTTTTTCTCTTTTAAAAATAAAATACTAGGCCTATATTCAGAGTTGAATTATCAGTAATTTAAATGTATATTTTAGTTGAAGTTAAACAAATAGTAAAGAATAGTTCATCGATCAGTACTTTTTAGTTTTAATATACTTGAGTACATTCAAAAATGAAGTACTTTTACTCAAGTAAAACTGAAAATGAAAAAAATGTTCACATTAATTTGAAATGTACTTCAAGTACATTTGTGTACTTCGTCCACCACCACATCATTTTGATATCACTACTGGGGAATAACCTAATTTTCTTTGTTAAGTCTTGTAAAGATGGTTTACTTTCTGGGTTATTGGTTTGCATGTAAACCCGTACAATGGGTTATTTCAGTATTCTTATTTTTGGGAGCCATCAGCTTATTTATGTAAACATGTTCAGTGTCAGCAGTCACCTTGAAATGGAAGATGCAGAAGCTGGTAAAAAAGTTTCATAAATGTATTTGCAAAGTTATGCCAAGCATTGGTTGTTGTCAACTGTTGTCAGTTTCCTGCTGGGTGAAAAATCCCTTATTTAAAGCTGTTTAAATGCTGGTATTCCCAGAGCTGGTTTAGAGATCATTATCTTACTCGTAAAATGTCTTTGAATTCTTAGAGTTTGGAGTTGAATATCCCCACACAGACTGATTGAGAGGTCCTCAGATGTTTATCAGTTCACAAGTTCCCTTTATGTTGTCCATTTGCTCTAACTCTCTCCTCCACTGACTTCTCTGTTCTCCAGTCCAATGATCCAGTCACTAACATCTGCCAGGCTGCAGACAAACAGCTGTTCACTCTGGTGGAGTGGGCCAAGAGAATCCCTCACTTCTCTGAGCTGCCCCTGGATGACCAAGTCATTCTGCTCAGGGCTGGTACGAGCGTCAGACATTCTCACACTCATTTTGAGTTGCAGCTAATATCTGAAATATTAATATATGTAAAAAATGACTCCGCATTCTGAAGAGAAAGATGTTTACACAGGATGGATAGATGGAGAATAGCTAAAGGGAATAGATCCAGTGATTTAATAGTTACGTACAGTATGTTTGTCTTAAAATGCAACACTCATGGCACAAGATCCTAAAAACAGCAAGATGCAATGCACTGACAAAAAGAAAAAAAAAGGAGCAGATGAAAAAATAGAGCGCTTGGTTAACGGCATACATATCTTAATGTACATGGAAAGTGTTTTACTATATGTATGTGATATTTTTATAACAGGATGGAATGAGCTCTTGATCGCAGCCTTCTCTCACCGCTCCATCAGCGTGAAGGATGAGATTCTGTTGGCCACCGGTCTACATGTGCCCAGAGACAGCACTCACAACCTGGGAGTGGAGGCCTTTTTTGACAGGTCACACTGAACACTGTGTTTTACATTTGTTTAATAATGTAGTATTTTTAGAGGCTTAATGTTTACAATGTCTGTACAGGGAGAGTGCACACAGTGCAGAGGTGGGAGCCTTATTCGACAGGTAATGCCTAACATCTTTTTCACTTATATTTACCTAATGTCTGTGTACCAGTAATTCCGCCTTTCAGGTGATTTAGACCTCATTGTATGGTTATTTTTCTCATTTCTTACACATCTGCAGGGTTCTGACTGAGTTGGTCTGTAAGATGCGTGATATGCAAATGGACAAAACTGAACTTGGCTGTCTGCGTGCCATAGTTCTGTTTAACCCAGGTATGCATTTTTGGTAGATGTGTTTCTTCCTCTAGAACCTATTTAAAGGAAAATGTCAATAACATTTCAATGGATGGTATATTTCTCAATTTGTCTTATTTCTTTGTTACTCTTTGTTGATTGATTGTAAAAAAAAATTAAGGGGTAGTTTATAGTCATCATTTACTCACCCTATTGTTGTTCTAAACCTGTTTGACCTTTTTTTCTTCTGTGGAACACAAAATAAGATATTGGTAAAAAAAAATTGTCCAATGTTTTTTTTTTGTTTTGTTTTTTTTCCGTACAGTGAAAGTCAATGTGGTCCAATTTTTTTTTTTTGGACACCAGTGAATTTCATTGTATGGACAAAAAAGGTTAAAAATTCTTCAAAATAAATTTACATTCTCCTAAATATCAAACCATTCGGTTTGGAATAACATCTGGTTTGGAGGAAGAGTAAACCACACCAGAATTTTTCCATTTTTAGATTAATTATATCTTTGATTACCTGAAAACATGTAAAGTCATGTAAATTCCTCAAACTATGTTCTTTTATCAGGTTAAGGTGCATGTTGATGCTGTATGGTATTCCATTGTGTTCAGTGCGTAGCTTCGTAATGCCCCATTTCCTTTGCCGTGTTAATGACCTGTTTAATTTTTTGAGGTCTAAATGCAGTGAATTTTAGCTTTTACTCCTGTACCTGAAAGTAAATTTATTTCCCCATGTAATGCGTCAGCCATGGTCCCACACCAGCTAAACGCCCTCAGCCTCTGCTACAGTAGCCAGTCCCCAGACTCTTTCTATAGGTTGAGCTGATGAAACAGAAACTGAGCAGACTGCTCTCAATGTTTAAATGGTGCCTGGAACGCTCAATGTTTACAATTTTGTGGGAAATAAACCCATGAATGGCATAGTAGTCAGTGACCAACAAACTGGGTAAAGAGAATGTATTTTAACAACAAATATTACATACTTGACCTTTAAGCCAAACCTGATCGGCATATCTAGATTTTACCATGATTTCATAGTGCTTTTCAACACCTTGACATTTTGGCAAAAAAAAAAACAAAACAAGACTATAGCTGTTGCCAGCTATTTTGACAATAATGTTAGTTATTTTCAGAGGAAAGTACGTATACACTACAAGCAGCACATTGACTACTCTAAAAAAAGTTTAATTTCTATAGTATTGTCCCTTGAGAATATATACTAAAAAGTTTGCTGAAATGAGATGTACTCACTTTGGTGTGAAACTGTATATTGGGCATGCCTTTGACTAGCCTGGTTAACGCCAGACCACGTATCATTGAAAATGAAACGTGGTCTGGAAACCACATGTTCATTTTCACGTATTTGAGGCGTGGTTTGCGACTGCCCAGAGCCATATTATTGGGTGCTACGAATGTCTATCAAATGCGCCTGTACGTCTATCAAATGCGCTTGTGCTCCCTCCCCGTTCTGTGATGGGTTCCCCATTTCAGGGGAAAATTTGGTTAATGGTATCCAGACTGCCTAGCAGCGCAAATAAAATCGCGCTGCGGCAGGGCAGCATGGGGAAACCCAGGCTAGCCTTTGACATCATAACTGGAGAAAAACTCTAAAGTGTATGCTGAATATTTCCAATATTTCTTAGATGCCAAAGGTCTGACCAGCAGCAGTGAGGTGGAGCTTCTCAGAGAGAAAGTATACGCGTCCCTGGAGTCCTATTGCAAGCAGAAGTATCCAGATCAGCAGGGGAGGTGAGTGTTCTGTGCTGACATGGGGCGAATTCACCAATAGCATACACAGTATTTCATCACCAAAACATAGTTTTATTCTCTAGACACCTCCAATCCAGTTTAAGCAGGTGCTGATGCTCTGAAAAATGACATTTATATTGTGCATACAAATAAATTATGCTATTTCAGGCACAATTCAGTCTTTGCTCACCTTTTCACTGACCCTCTAACTAAACGGATGTTGTGCCTTTTAAACTAGTACATGTAAATGACCTCTTTTATAACTGACTATGTGAAATCCACAAGCGTAGTTCACACTGTCGTTCATAAAACTCATGAACAGTCATATTTTACTGTGCTCCTGGTTGTTAGAGTATGGGAGATGCCCCCAAAAATCTGCCCGCTTGCTTACTCACAGGTTTGCCAAGCTCCTCCTCCGGCTTCCTGCGTTGCGTTCCATTGGCCTTAAGTGTCTGGAGCACCTTTTCTTCTTTAAACTGATTGGAGACACCCCCATTGACACTTTCCTAATGGAGATGCTGGAGTCGCCCCACTAGCTGTGGCCGAGGAAGATTGGGAGACAGGGTTTTTCTACCCTAGGTCCTGGAGATAACTGTGACTGCACTTTTTCTTCCCAGGGGAATTACAGCGATTGGTCAGCCTCTGGTCTGGGGGTATTTTGTTCATTTATGTCTTTTTTTTTTTTTTTTTTTCTCTCTCTCTTGACTGTCTCTTAAGTGCACCATAGAATCTAGAGACCCAAACCTTGCCATGAAAAATTATTGGTGCTACATTTCAACAGTAAGCTAATTATATATATATATATATATATATATATATATATATATAAACAAGTTTAAAACTCAATGATTTTAAGTATGGAAGCTCCAGTTACCTGACTGGTTTAGATAAGTGGGGTTTACATTTTGATAGAACCATTTGAGGCTTTTAAAACACTGTGGATGATAAGCTTTAATCATATGTAAGTGTGCTACACCATGTCTTAAGTTTCGGTGCTTTCTTCCTGTACGGATAATTTATTTCGCCCCGACCTGTAAGGACTGGTCAAGTGGGTGAATAGATGAGTTAATTAATTCGGCATTACTGATTTAAATTGACATTTACTTTGCTAGCGCAAGAAATCTGGCAAAGAAATCTATATGCAATGAAGCTTGAATTGATGCAAAACAGAAAAGTCTAGATGTTTAATCTCCAAATATTTTTTTTTTTTTTTTTTTTACGTGATATTGTGCAATGTTAAGCCTAAATCCAGAGGTGGATGTGAGGGAAATGCAAGCACTCATTATTTTTATTATCTCACGCGCTCATTTTATTATCACGTCATGAGTGCCTAACAGACATATGCTTGATTTATGTTTTTTTATTTAACATTTGACAGAAGACAGGACAAACAAAAAGATGAATCTCTGTTCACATCATCAGCAGTGATCGTACGAAGCAGGTCAATTTCTTTGGTTCTCTTTTTGTTTTGCCTGAAGTGTCCTAGGCTGAAATTGTCTTAAACCTGCATTGGTTTTATTAGTTAACTGTCAGTTAATAATACACTCTCTTCTCTTATCACATATCAGGTAACTGTATAAGAGTGATAATTCCTTAAGTGAACTGCACTACACAAAAATAAATGTCATTCCTTTTTTTTTTTGACCAGTGTCAGATTTAAAAAAAAAAAAAAAAAATAAATACTTTGGTGCTTCGGAATTGACATTTGGGTAACACTTTATAATCTCTTTCATTAATAAATCATAAAAAAAATATATTATATAATGCTTAACAGATAAGTTAATATTATTCATATAGTTAGAAATATGAGATGATGTGCTTGTTTATGTAATGTTATTAAACATTACATAGTGGTTAGCAGATCATTATTTAATGCAAATTGTTATTATTACAAATGTCATTAAACCTTCAATTCATATGATCATGAACTTTTTAAAAATCTACAAATGATTTTGACAGATGGTTTTCAACAATTAAAAGCTCCATTAATAAATCGTATAAGATAATGTGCCTGCTAACGTTTACTAATGAACTTGAACTGAACTAATAAACATTACATAATGATTACCATATAATTTTGCGTAAATTAAAAATGCTTGCAAATGTCATTCACATGAACATGCTCTTTTTAAAAATCTAAAAAATGATTTAACATGTTATATGATTAAAAGCTTAGTTGTTAATGTACATTTAAATGCTAGCAAATGTCATTAAACTTCAGTTAATTTATTACCTAATGCACTTTTTTACATTTTACAAATGTTGTGAAAAAAATGTTTTAGTCTTTTTAATATATATATAAGCATAATATATCCTATTCCACGTTCAAGAGCACTTATAAAGCTTCCATACGGATTACATCTTCAGAGAGAATGTTGTTTTCAATTTTAATTGGTTAATTTAAAAGTAGACATTTCAAGCTTTCTATAGATGCATTAAAAGGCAAATAGCCTATACGCCAAGTTTCGGTTCATTTTTGGGACGCCTGTAGAAGGCGGTGAAGGTGGCAGAAAGTGTATCCTGTTTGTTTACTTTATTTTACAAAAGCACAACATTTTGTTGTTATTGTGAGTTTACACAAATAAAAGTAGTAGTTCAGATGATATGTTAATTTTATCTGTATGACCAAAAATGACAGAGTATTTGAAGTTATACTTAAGCATCCACACACAGCACAAACACTTGGATATGCACCTAATAACAGCACACATTTATCTGTTAACGAACATTAGAGCTAGAGGCCATGTAACGTTGCTACTACTTACATGTTTTAAATAATAAGCCATATTTGAGGTCGATGAATGCTAAATGCTCCCTAAAGACAACAATAACAGGTTTTCATTACCAGGTTTTCATTACCTCACCATTTAATATATGAAATTCCTTGAATCATACATCAACAGGAAAACATTTTTTTAAGAAAGTATTTAATTGTTCACTTAACCGTTCATTTATCAAAACAATTTGATTCAAACAGTTTGAACAGCGCTCCCTTAAAGTAATCAAATTGACCCCTTGACCAACCCTTAAACCTACCCATAAACCTACCCTACCCATGTAAAAAGTGTTTTACAATACACCATGCATTGTACAAACACATTTCTACGTCCTTCGGATGAGACGTTAAACCGAGGTCCTGACTCTCTGTGGTCATTAAAAATCCCAGGATGTCCTTTAGAAAAAGAGTAGGGGTTGAACCCCGGCATCCTGTCCAAATTTGCCCTGTGGCCTCTGTCGATCATGGGGATCATCCCCAAATATACTGATTGGCTTCATCACCCTGTCTCCTCTCAACCAGTTAGCTGGTGTGTGGTGGGCGTTCTGGCGCATCATCCAGGTGGATGCTGCACATTGGCGGTGGTTGAGGAGATTCCCCCTTCCATGTGTAGAGTGCTGTGCGTACCTAGAAAGGCACTATGTAAATGTAACAAATTATTACTAATCGGACCTATTTTTTTTTTTTAACGTTAGTACATAATAAAGACACCTAATGTTAAGTGGGACCAGTCATTCTTATATTGTACTTTTTTTTTTGTTGAACGTCCGGATCACAATGATTTTAAATTTACAGTGCATGATCATATGAATCTCAGTTTTGTAAGCGTTTCAATTTACATTAAACCATGGTCTGTCAATCATCATATAGTGTTTAATAAGTGAATTTGTAAACATTAACAAACACATCATCTCATATTTCTAGTTATATATATATATATATATATATATATATATACACACACACACTCGCCTGAATTGTTATTAGGAACACCTGTTTAATTTCTCATTAATGTAATTATGTAATCAACCAATCACATGGCAGTTGCTTCAATGCATTTAGGGGTGCGGTCCTGGTCAAGACAATCTCCTGAACTCCAAACTGAATGTCAGAATGGGAAAGAAAGGTGATTTAAGCAATTTTGAGCGTGGCATGGTTGTTGGTGCCAGACGGGCTGGTCTCAGTTACTGGGATTTTCATGCACAACCATTTCTAGGGTTTACAAAGAATGGTGTGAAAAGAGAAAAAAATCATCCAGTATGCGGCAGTCCTGTGGGCGAAAATGGCTTGTTGATGATAGAGGTCAGAGGAGAATGGGCCGACTGATTCAAGCGGATAGAAGAGCAACTTTGACCGAAATAACCACTCGTTACAAGCGAGGAATGCAGCAAAGCATTTATGAAGCCACAACACGCACAACCTTGAGGCGGATGGCTACAACAGCAGAAGACCCCACCGGGTACCACTCATCTCCACTACAAATAGAAAAAAGAGGCTACAATTTGCAAGAGCTCACCAAAATTGGACAGTTGAAGACTGGAAAAATGTTGCCTGGTCTGAGTCTCGATTTCTGTTAGGGGTGGGGGAAAAATCGATTCGTAGATACACATCGCGATGCGGAAGTGGACGATTCTGAATCGATTCACAATAACACATTTTTTGTTAGATATACATTTATAATAATGTAAGATTGACGGAATGCAAAAGACAGAACTCTGAAGCGCAGAAATGCAGTGCCTGGATCGCCTGTGGCGTGCACATAACAGATGCAATGGCTGAGCGTGAAATCCAAACACCCTTGTTAAAAGCTGATGTGTGGAAATATTTTGGCTTCTGAAGTTGAAGGGGGAAAGGAGATGGACAAGAGCCACATTAGTTGTAAACTTTGTAGAATAAAACTAAAATATTTTGTAAAAATGACAAATATGAGAAGCCATGTGGCACGTTTCCACCCAGAGGAGGAAAAACACTTGGCTGTACCGGTCGTTGTTATATTATTAATTTACAACAAGTATGTTGTAAGTGCAGGCACACATTTGTTTTCCTGTTGGTTCTTTGCAATGTTAATAAAATATACTGTGCGTTAATTCTTTATGGGTCATTACTTTTTATTTTTAAAGCAAAGTATTTATAGTCACACGAACACACACGCAAAAAAAGATTCAGATAATCGATAATCGCAACCCTCTGAATCGTAAACTAATCAAATCGTGAGGTGCCTAGAGATTCCCACGCCTAATTTCTGTTGAGACATTCAGAGGGTAGAGTCAGAATTTGGCGTAAACCTGGCGTCATACCTTTTTACCACTGTGCAGGCTGGTGCTGGTGGTGTAATGGTGTGGGGGATGTTTTTTTGGCACACTTTAGGCCCCTTAGTGCCAATTTAAATGCCATGGCCTACCTGAGCATTGTTTCTGACCATGTACATCCCTTTATGGCCACCATGTACCCATCCTCTGATGGCTACTTCCAGCAGGATAATGTCACAAAGCTTGAATCATTTCAAATTGATTTCTTGAACATGACAATGAGTTCACCGTACTAAAATGGCCCCCACAGTCACCAGATCTCAACCCAATAGAGCATCTTTGGGATGTGGTGGAACGGGAGCTTCGTGCCCTGGATGTACATCCCACAAATCTCCATCAACTGCAAGATGCTATCCTATCAATATGGGCCAACATTTCTAAAGAATGCTTTCAGCAACTTGTTGAATCAATGCCACGTAGAATTAAGACAGTTCTGAAGGCGAAAGGTGGTCAAACACAGTATTAGTATGGTGTTCCTTTAATAATCCTTTAGGTGAGTGTGTGTGTGTGTGTGTGTGTATATATATATATATATATATATATATATATATATAAACGAATTATCCGTTAAGCATTATATATTGTTTTTTAATGATTAATTAATGAAAGTTCTTATAAAATGTTACCAACTGCAAAAAGGAAAAAGTACAGCTATCTTCAGCTTTATAGAGAGACTAAATCTGAGCAATATGAAAGTTCATTGGTGTGGACTTGCTGTTTGTATTTGGAAAACCTTCCAACTTGAAATTTCTACAATTAATTTCTTCTAGTACTGTGCAGACCCTATTGTTCAGGGACATTGTGTAGCTATTGTGTAGACATAGGCTAGGTATCAATATATAATCTCTTGCTTTTATCACTTTCTTTAGTTTGTAGTTGGCATACAACTTGCAGAAAAGACATAGTTTGCACTGGATTTTACTATGAATCCTAGACTTTGGATTTTGTCTTTTATTTCCTTTCTGTGATCTGATCTGAGCTGATTTGCTTTTCGTTTCCTTTTGACTTACTGTTGAGATTTTTGTTTTCTTGCTTTTTTGCTTTTCCATGGCATCTTTCTTCTGTCCTTGCTGACAAAGTTATGGGGACAAATGCAAACTCACTTTTGCCATAGATATATCTAACAAACAAACAAAACACACAAGGTTGTTTTTGTATGGTCTTGTACAACCAACATCTTTACTGCATTAGGCATGTTACATGTCTGTTGTTGCACTAAAATTGTCATACAATTATGATTGTAATGAGATTCCATCAGTTTCGATGTGGCCACAGCTCATTTTAGAGGAGCCCTGTGACACTGCAAGAGAACCATCTGCTGTACATGACCCTAAATAAAGGTGGTGATATGTCTAACAACTGTTCTTGGAGAGTTTGTGTGACTGACTGAATGAGTGAATTGTATTGAAACCCGTTGAACTCATTGCGACTATCTCTCACAAAAACAGATTATTTCTCGTAAATGCGACATTCTTGACTGTTTTGCACGACACTGTTTTCAACTAAAAATCCTCGCACGGATCTGTGCATTTTGGCTATTCATGTAATCCACGAAGAACTAAAATATAGCTGCGAGCAGCGATGAAGGGCCAACGACTTGGGCCCGTAATCGCTGCTCGCAGCTATATTTCAGTTTTATTTTTCTTCATTTTCAAAGTGTATTTTGTAAAATTAGACTATGTTTGTACATGTGTGCTGATCAGAGAGCTGGTAGAGTTATATTTTGCTTAAAGGTATGAGTAAAGTGCAGTGTTCACTTAGTAGATATGTTCCAATGATGATTATACTTCAAATGTGTACAGTTGGTATGCACTTTGCAAGAAAATGAATGTTTCAACTGATGCAAATGTACCATTTGAATTCCACTAATGTATACATGGAGAAATAGTTTCTTAATGTGAAAAGTGTCATGTTTTCACTTAAGCTAAATGTTTTGCTACCTTACAAGGAAGTTGTGAGTCTCTCTGTGATGTATATAAGCTCAATCTTACTGTACTACATTAGAGAAACATAAAGGAAGCAGGATTTTTTCAGATCTACACTGTAAAAGCTTTTTATTGCAAAGTACAGTAAATGCTTTTTCCTTTAGGAATTTAAAAGTCAAATTTTCACATTCTCGATCCTTTATTCAAAACCAACTTTTTATGGCACTTGTATAGCAATGGGTGAAACTCTGTATGCGAGTGCAATAATATCAAAGGCCATTTAAGCAGGGCTGATGGGTGCATGACAATGTTTCAAGTCTGTGCTGTGTAAACACATGAAACACAAAAGCTACGTTCACAGGGTATCGAGACGTCACAGGCTCCATCCACTTAACCCCAATATATTGACATTGCCTGCTGACATTTACTGTTTGAACCATGCATGGCTTATTTTCTCTTAAATTAGAATTTTCACAGAATAACACTGCTTTTGACCTATACACTATTCTATACAAAATACAAACAAAACAAACAACATAAAAATAAAAACATTGAAGTGACATTTACACAATTTTACAGCATCTGTCTCACGTTTAGCCTCTACATCACGGTTCTACTTTACATGTATCTAATCTCTTATCCACATAATGCTCAGAGTAAAAATCTGAGGGAAAGGTGAGAAAAAAAATCGTCTCTATAGTACTTAATTTTCCAATTCCTTTCGAAATTGCATGCTACACATGATAAGGTGCTAAATGGTTCTATTATCATAGACAGTGGACGTGTGTCTGTGGGAAATGTTAAATTTCCAAAAAAAATAAAGCGACTTTAATCTTGCTAACGTTCTGTAATTTACACTCTCCAAACCCATAGGATATTTTTGTTCTGTAAAAATATTCAAAATACAGGACTTTAATGACAAAATTGTATATTATACACCGTATAATGTATACTTTTGTCATTGAAGTCCTGAATTATTGAATGAACTATTCCTTTAAAATTGTTTCCCCTTTTTTCCTTAAATGCCAATAATCAAATTATCATAAAATACATTTCTTCAAGGCACTAATTTGATAAAAACATGCCATTGCTGCTTTTTTAAACAAATATAGCTAGTCTTTCCATTTAAATTAGACGATTGTCTACTTTTTCATCTTGGAAGTTATGAAATTAATGTATTACCATGGAGAAAATATATGAGGAAGAGAAAATGAGAATGAGAATTTATAGTTTGTTCGCATTTGTGAGCAAAGTAATTTGGTAATCTTTACCTAAGTGAAACCGGTTTGTCCACACAAGGTGACTTCAGGGTTCAGCAGAAATTTAAGAAAATGTAAGTTTTGTTTTCCCCCCAACTTGCTCAACTTCAAGCAATTTGAAAGTAACCGTACATGTAACACAAAAAGCTCTGCTATTTTAAAATACACAAACAAACACACTTTAACACAGCAGCAAACCAAAGGAGAATGGTTGCTGATTTACATGAAATATGAAGACTGAAGGTGCGACTGCTGAATTCCGGTGCCATCTGAGTTCAACCAAACAGCCCGTACCAACAAAAAAAGATAGGAGAAGCATCCAGTCATCTTCAAACTTTTTTTTTTTTTTTTTGGTTCATTCTGAAGGCCACAGCGGTAAGAGACGTAGCTACTGGAGAACTGGACAATCAGCATTTTACAGGCTGTGTGTGTGTGAGAGAGAGAGAGAGAGAGAGAGAGAGAGCATCTACAAACGTTGTGCAGAAACTGTGCTTGTTCTCTTTCAAAAATGCATTAAAATGGACGTTTGGGATATCATGTTAACAGTCTACACGTACAGAGCAGGAACAGTGGAAATGCACCTGGAGTGGTTCTCATTATTCTCTTAGACCACCTTGGGACAATATGCAAATGCAGGTGAAGCTAGTAAATGGAGTAAGGTCTGAATACGCGTCCAAGGTTAAGTATATGGGTTAGTGATTATAATCCCTTTCACCTGTGAGAATATGAACTGTCCACAGCAATTACCATCGTAAAACAGTTAAACACAAACCCAGGAACATGCACCTGCTCCAGATCTAGAATAAAGCAAACCGGAGCTAAAGCGACCTGTTCCAGCTCGTGTGTGTGTGTGTTTGTGCTGAGACCCTGAGCGTATGCTGTCTCACACTTGCATCTCAGAGCTGCTGGCCAATCCCAGCGCCTGTGCCTCCTCTGGCGTAAGACCGTTCTTCAGTGTTCTTCTTACTGTAGAGAAAAAGAGAGGAATGAGTGAGAGAGCCAAGCAAACTCGATTTTTTTTTTATAATTCTAATAAATAATATTCAAGCTATTGTTAAAGATATGAAAAATTAAACCTATTGTGATTTGTGTCAATTGTTTTAAATTTAACTAAAATTTGTAAAAATATATCTGAACAATAAAGCAATTTAATCTGTTAACCCTTTCTCCACCATTGATGCAAATTTTCGTAATTTGTGAGAAAACGTTTTCCCTGCCATTGCCGGAAATTTCCGGCTTTCTGTGTTTTCACTGTTATATGGTAGGGGACACATTGACAAATCTTCTGAAAGAGAGCAGAATCTCCTGATCAAAAAACACGCCAATAAAATGCAGGAACAAGCGATCTTATGCGTAATCAAATGCATATGTAAAATAACACGATCATCAACACTAAACAGCACATAAATCAAAACTATGTTACTGGATGAAATGTCGACCCAGGGTGAGCTACAGGACTGTGCAAGCATTAGGAGAGTTGATGGACTCGATCTACTCCATCTATGTTTTGATCATCATTCTGAATCCGGAAGTAGTTTTTTTTTTTTTTTAGTGTTTGCTTTTTTTTTATTAAACTTACCCACATTCAAGTGTTTATAAAAAGAATGCATATGAATATATATATATATATTAAAGCTGTCTGGGTTAGTATGTACTACAGTATACACTACCATTCGAGGTCAGCTATCTCAAATTAATTCTTTAGAACTTTTGATTCATCAAAATATTCTGAAAAAAAGTTTATATATATATATATATATATATATGTGTGTGTGTGTGTGTGTGTGTACACAAAAATATTAAGCAGCGCAACTGTTTCCAACTCCAATATTAATAAGTATAACGTTTCTTGAGCAGCCAATCAGTATGTTACAATGATTTCTGAATGATCATGTGACACTGAAGACTGGAGTAATGATGATGAAAATTCAGCTTTACATCATAGGAATAAATTACATTTTAAAATAAGAAAATGAGTAAGACACTTAACCCCTAGTTGCTCTAGAGGCGTGCAACCTCTGACAAATATACCAATTGTAAGTCGATTTGGATAAAAGCATCAGCTAAATTAATGAAAATGTAAAAAAAAAAAAAATGTAAGACGTAACTTACAAAACAAGTTATACGGCAAAATCGTTTCCTGTCTGAGGCCTAAAAATGGAAGTACTGTATACTGGTAACAAACTCCAAACGAGCATTAAAAAAAATGTGTATGTGATATTTGCAGACTCACAGGATTTGCGGTTGGCTCTGGAGCGTCTCCTCTCGCGGGGCTGTGTGCGCTGACTGGGGCCCTGAGTTGCTGATTTCACAATCCGCTCCATGATCTCATCTGCTGTATCATTTGTGCAATTAGAAGTGTCTTCGTTTGCAGCAGACAAAAGTGCGGTATGGCCTAGAAAAGAGACACAAGAAGGAGAGTGTTTCATTGTTTCAGGACTCCTACAGCTTCAGCAATTCAGCCTTATCTGTGAACATACCTCGGGTGGCTCGAGTCCGTGTGCGGAGGCCAGGGAGAACAGATGAGGGACTGTCGCCGCCCTGCAGGCTGGTGCGTAGTACTGCAGTCATCTGCTCATGTTCAGCTACGTCCTCCGTGTAGCCCAAACCCTGTGGCGGACACTCCTGACCCTCCAGAGGAGCGCCTGCAAACTTCCCACTCTGAGAACAACAAGACATTCATTCGATTAAAAGTAGTTAAATATAAACATCGCACCAAAACATGCCTTCACGTAGTGATTTAGTATATTATTCACACATTAGTAGATTTTAGAGTGCATTAGTGGTGAGGTCCCACTTTTTCCAGAAGTAATTTTCCTATAAGGATTTTTAAATCCTCAGCATCGCTGGATCTAGAGCAGGGGTTCTCAACTCCAGTCCTCGGACCCACTGCTCTGCATATTGTGTATGTCTCCCTTATTTAACACACCTAATTCAGATCCTCAGCTCTCTGACTCGATGTCTTCAACATCATGTTACATCCAGTTGCATGACTCAACAAACCAGCAAACTCTTCAAATCCACATGGAGAACCATAGCAGTTGGCAATGATAAGAGAGACAAATATTGATTCCTGAATTCCTCAGCCTCTAGTTGTTATGGGGTGCATCAAAAACTCACAAATGATCTGGTAATACATGCTGGATATTACAAGTCACAAGAAGAAATCATGAAACCCATTCATGCACAACTGAATAAAAGCACAAGGACACACGCATACCTCATCATCCTCTTCCTCATCACTCTACAGAGAAGAAATAAAAGTCGTCACATGGCAGAGAAGACGAGCATAAAAAGTGTTGGGTTGAAAATTTTTTTTTTCGGTATTTGGTTTCACAGTTACAAAAGTTACAAAACAGTTTCACCGTTACGAAAGTAATGAAGGTTCATAACACATTACAAAATGTACTATCTTGAGCTTCATTCACTTATTTTTTGAACCCGTCAAGAATGTGTCATGGTTATAAATTACCCCAAAACTAAAATAAAGAAATATGAAAATATATTTGGAAGGGAAAAATGCAGAACTATCAAGAATTGTATTGACTGTTTTCATGATAATCACAATCATGAAGCATACAATTGTATACTAAATAAGAAAAAAAATGAAAGAAATGAACGTTAAAATGAGATTCACCGTAGTACTGCATGTGGTAAAAAAAAATCTTTATAGAGTGAGCACCAAGTTACAAAGTGTTTTTTGAAAATCGTCTCTACGCTCTCTCACTTGGGCTTTTTGTTTTGCAGCAACATACGAAACCAACGTGAAGTTCTTCCTTTACCTCAGCTTTACCTCTACAAAGCCAGAGTGTGCATGAACGGCTCCTAGGGACATCCAAAGGTTTGGATTTTCACACAGAGATTGAATTAGACACCCCTCTTAGACTAAGGCAGACCCCCGCCAAGCATAACATGCCATGAAGGGCTATCGTGGCTAAGACATCCCCCAGGAGAGGCATTAAATTGGCCCCCTGGAGTAATGTCTACCCAAGGCCAGCACAGAACCGCAAAACCCATGACAATACACTGCTTGGTTTACAAAGTTTTATTATTGTAATGAAAGAGGTCAGCGTGTTTTTAGGCCATTCTGACAATCCTAGGGGTGGAGTGGAATATAGACGATAAGAGTCCAGCCTCATTGGTCTCGAGTGGGTATACAGTTCGGAATGCCAAAGATATAAAAGAATGTTAAATGAGTCACTGGAAGAAAAAAAAAAATCAGGAAATATAATGATCCCTCTAGTGGTACAATGATAAAGTACAGAATTTTAGCAGCTCGCTCACTCACAAAGAAGTTTAAGAAATGAGAGAAAAAACAGGGACAAAGGAACTGAGGGCAATTTTCTGCACATTAATTACAGGAAAAAGGTTTCAAATCAGATATTTGGATATTTGAGTCAAACTTTGAGACCCCAAATAAACAAGAAATTAGAAATTAGTTAGAAATGATCAATTTTCATCATTGTCTTCTGGTTTTTGAATAATCCACTGTGTCATCACATTCATGATGAGATGTAGTTGAATCAATCTTATTAGCATATATTTAATCTGGAGAAGATGTGATTGAATATGTGTACCTAAATAGTGCTGGTTCATGTCTGAAGCAGCAGATGAAATATGTCCTTAAACAGTTTTAAAAGGATTGTTCCAGAAATGAACTTTTCCAGAGACATTATGCAATAAGGTCCAGTTTAAAAAAAAAAAAAATTATTAGGTAACATAAATTGACAATGAACATTGTTCATTGTTAAAGGTGCAGTAAGCGACTGTTGATATTTGCAATCAGCAAAAAAACAAACCCCTCCCTTCATTGCTCCATCCCCAAAATGTACAAACACACAATGCAAAAGTGGATGTCTCTTTATCACAGCTGAAGCAAAGCAAAATAATGCTTAGCTAAAAATAAAGTGAACGAATGACAAGGAAGAACAAACAATGAACATACAGTACACAAGAGCAAAAGTTTGTTGCTAGTCGCCAAGACGCCAGCCTCCAGACAAACAATCACACTCAAAACTCTCCTGTTTCTATAGCTAACACTACAACAATAGAACATCTTGGCTCTGCGAAACAACCCAACCTCTTTGTCCGATTTCAGGCCTTCCAGCTTCGGTCTCTCCAGAAAGATTTTCTAAAATCAAACCAGGTCCTAAAGCTCTTCCAGTAATATCCCCCTGACCTTTTCTCTTTTGTAATGTCTCTCAACCTTGTCTCTTTCTACAGTCTTTCCTTAAACGCTCACCCTCTCTCCTCCCCCATCATGAGTGAACACGCCCCCTACTGCTGATTGGCTACAAGTGTGTTGTGGCGCTCAGTCCGATCCACTTTCAACCGCGTTTTTCAGAAATCGCTTACTGCACCTTTAATTTATGTTAGTTTATAGTACAGATTTACACAGCTTAAATGTTAAATATGTATTTTTTTAATTAACCTCTAAAATAATTAAAAATGTTAACAAATTAAACCTTATTGTAGTGTTACCATTTTCCCTAAATATTAAGGGATTGTTCAATCAAAAATACAAATTCTGTCATCATTCTGTCATACTTGATTTCATATTGTTAATAAAAGACGATTTTTTTTAAAAATATTTGGTTCCCGAAGTTCTTCAAAATTATTTTTTTAATGTGTTTGTGCGTTCCGTAGAAGAAAGACAGTCGTACAGTGCGAATTTTCATTTTTGGGTGAACTATCCCCTTTGAAAAAAATGTTTTCTATAAAATGTGCATTTTTATCTGTTAACAACTCAATAAATCTGTTTTAGCATTACGGAACTTAACCTGGGGTATAGAAAAGTCTAATGCAATTGTTCACACTCACCTCGGTGATCATTTTGCCCCGGGTCTTGTTCCTCTCGCGGTGATTGGCCCGTTTCTGTTTTTGCTGCAGTACTCGCTCTCTGGTGGTGCGGTACTCAAGTGCAAACTCACTTAGAATCTTACTGAAGCGGTGAACGCTCACCTCTCTTATCGCATACGGTGGGTGGCCCAGGAACAGCAGGAATGAGTGAAACCTGTAGATCAAATACAAGGACGTTTACTTTAAATAACTTTCGAACAATCTCTTCAACTATGGTTTAGTTCAGACAGGCAGCAAAAAAAAAAAAAAAAAAATGTTTGGAAAATCCAATCCATATTTTTGCAAACTAGATCCAAACCATATTCGGTAGGTGGTTTGAAAACAGATTTTCTGAAATAATATCTCACTCTGAACTGTCAGATCAGATTTCAAGTAAGTTTTTACTGTGAACATTTGTGTGAACAGCTTTATTGTTTATTTAATGCACCTGTTTATGATGCGGCGATGCACAATTTTAAGGATGATAATTCTTTCTGCACAGTCTTTAAGGAAGTCAGACATGCGCTGCTTAAGGGCTGGTTTGATTTCATGTTTGGCGATGACCTTCAGGTGGTCCCAGGATGCTTTGCAGCGCCGCTCCATCTGACATAGGTTTTCCTGCAGCTGGTCAAAGTCCACCTGGAGAAGACAGGACAAACCGCTGATCAAGTAGGGTGTCTGAGGATTGGTTTGTTCACTTCACAACCAATGCTTTACTTTTAGCAACAACACATGGAATTGTGATGCCTTGATTTCTTTCTTTGCATGTGGCATGTTGCCATTGTTTGTTCATTGTGGTCCAAAAGTCTGAGGTGATATTGAAAATCTGGAATAAGAAATCTAATTTAAATCTGGAAATAAACAGTGTTTTGAAATATTTAAAACAAAGAAATGTTATAAAGACAAAATAATCAAAAAATGGTACGATTCTGCACTACTTCTTGGTCACTAATCAAATAAGCAAATTTGTGACTGCTTTATACAAATGTCCAGGTGTTCTTGCTTCCATCAAAGCACATTTGGAACTGTCTGTAAGACTTTTCTCTCAAACTTTTCAGTTTCAAAAATATATAAAAAAAAAAAATACAAAATATTAAGCAGCAAAATCTGGTTTCAACATGCTTCAACTATTATGCATAATTGAGAATCAATAATAATTGATAATAACTAAGCACTAAATCAGCATATTAGAATGATTTCTGAAAATAGAAAATAGTTATTTTAAAATGTAATAATACTTCACAATATTACTGTTTTTACTGTTTTTTTTTTTTGGTAAGCATAAGAGACTTCTTTCAAAAACATATAACAATTTTTTAAACGATTCTAAACTTATAACTGACATTGCACATGAATATGTGTTTCATTGCTTAGCAGTGAGTGCACAAATTCATAGTGCTCATTGAGATTTGGAATATAAGTCCCGCTCCATCATTGCTTGACCTCTCTGTACCATATTAATCAAATATAATGATTATATGAAAGACAAAAAAATACAAAAACATTCCAAGGAAGGTACAGGCTTGCAGTAAAATCAGTGGCGATAGTCTCGTAAATGGTATTATGCTAACCTTAGCAGAGCGAGTGATGGCTCCTATCTCAGAATAGAGGTCTGAGCTGTCTGGAAACTTCTCCACAACAATGGAGCAGACGTGATGCAGTAGAGACTGTTTGTGAACGGTGTCCTTCACCTCAGGAACTTTCTCTAGGTAACTCAGCTCAAAGCCTTTAGCCTGAAAACGCAAACAAACACACCATGAACATGAACTCATTTCTGTGATGACAACTCTCGGAAAGATTGGAATGTTAATGCCATTGCTGTGAGCATGTAAGACATGGTGTTGCTGCACATGTAACATAACTGAAATAACCCCTGTAGCAGATCTATACAGATGGAGCTGGGGAAGATGGAGGGCTTCTGAAAGTGAGCTACACACTGCTAATAGCAAACACTACAAGTATTTGAATGCTGATTTCAAGCGTCATATCAGCCTGCACCATCTAGGCTCATTGTGAGGCTCACTATGCGGGTCATTGACTCCTCACGTGAGAATCACAGCATTATTCATAATCAATCATCCCCACATCATCACACATCCTTCACCATACCTAGAGACTGGCATGGGGTACTTATGGGGTAATATATATTCAACAGACTGAATATAAAGAAAAGAGGGCAAAACATGAAAAGTTAGCAGGGAAGTTTCGTTTCAGATATATTTGAATGTGTAAATATGCAAGATTGAAATGATCTCTGATGTGGAAAATCACATGCACCTTGAGAGCATTAGTAACTCTGGATCTGGTCAATCATCAAATCATTTCCTACAAAAGGGCTCATTTTGACATTATTCTGATGCAGTTTAGTTGATTAGCATCAGTTGCATTAAGATAAGAGTGCTTTGAATGTGTGCAGAGTCTATTTGCAGCTCCCAAGATGATTCTGACCAATGCTTCATTAACATATCATTAACAGAATCTCAACCCTGTCTGCAAGTCACGACAGAGCTGGAGAAATCCCAACGGACGTGACATGACTCTCGCTGGCTTTGTTCTGCTGCCCATGCTCAATGGTTTACGGTAACAAAGAGATTTCATGCCAAACTCACCACTTTATCAGGTTTATCTCCTTCAGACTTTTTAACATTATTAAGATCTAAGCAAATACGCCAGACAGACAGAAAGAAAGAAAGACAGATGGAGATGGAGAGATTAGGGCTTGAAAGAAGAGATGTAGACTTTGCTGGCACTCACATTGGTCCCATTGAGAAAGTTGCCAATAGCTAGCAGAGTTGAAAGGATGTAGTGCAGCGTCTTATTCTTTTCTAATTGGTCCATTCCCTCCTTTAGGTCCTGTAGTGGTTCTGCTACTTCCTGAGAACGAGAAACAGAATGGGTTCGAAATAAATTACTAAATACATTATTAATGTGTAACAACACGTTTATAAACATATATACATTTTTAAAGATATTGTATTAAAAACTGCATTTATGTTCTTGTTCTGTAATTTAGCCATCTTCTCACATTTGCCACAGAAGCACCTGTATGACAAGTAAATATGATATAACAGGTCCCTCGCATAAATGTAATTTCGCTTGTATGTAGCAAACTTTATCACATGTGTTTGTAGTTTCAAAAAATTGCGCCAACGTTAGTGTTAGTGTTTGTGTGTGTCTGTGTGTGTGTGTGTTTTACACATCCATAATTGCAAAGGGGACGCGATTACAACTTTATAAGTACATAAATGGATCAAATAACCATACCCGAGACGTCCTGGTTCATTCTCATTTGTGTTTATTCAGCCGGAGTCTCTTCGTCATCTGGGTCTGATCAGAGACTATTTATATATTCCGATTCAAACATGTAAGGCTGAATGACATTCAAAACAGCGGGTCTCTCACTCTCTTAGCCATTATGCTTAGACCGTCTGCCATAGGTATGCAAGTTACGCCCTCATCCAAAGGCAGGGCGGGGATATGCATCTCATTTGCATTTAAGGTCGTATACACTTTTTAAAACAGGCCCCAAAAATTGCATTTTACAATTTTTATAATGAATTAACTGAGAGGTATTTTGTGCTGAAACTTCACAAATATATTCTGGGGACACCCGAGACCAATATTACATCTTGTAAAAAAGGGGCATAATAGGTTCCCTTTAATACATGAGGAAAAGTATAATCACAATATTGCCAAAATCCCATTATGATCACATTAGAAGTGTGTCTGCATTGACAGTCTACGCAACTACCACTTTGACTTCAAAAAGTTCATTTTGACTCACTTTGACACAGTCCATTTATACTGTATATGTGAATAAAAGCCTAAATTCAATCTGTTCATCATATAAAGCGATTGTGTCTCTTCAGAAACTTCAGATTAAAATTCGCAGTATTCATATAGATTCGTGTATTCATATTAGATCTCTTTGTGGATGTTTTTAAGCATCAAAGTAGTAGTGTACATGGACTCTCAATGCAAGGACACAAATCTCTCAGAATTCATTAAAAAATCTTCATTTGTGTTTCGACGGTGAGCAAAATATTACGTTTGGAACGACACGAGGGTGAGTAATATTAGTAAAAATTAGTAAAAAATATTTTTTTTTGGGTGAACTATCCCTTTAAGAACCCAACCACCATATCCCTTCCCAAACCACCATAATGTCATTTAATTTGTATAAAGGGGTAAAAATATGAGGCTGACCTTCTCTAAGCCATCATAGTCCATCTTGAAGGCCCAAAGTTGCAAGCGGGCGGACAGCTCACTGATGGAGGACAGAATGAGGAGGAACTGCTCTGCACTGCCCAGCGGAGTGTCGGGGTTCGCCAGCTGGGCCTCCTGAATCTTCTGCGTCTCCTCCTCCGTCGGAATCATTGTCAGGATTTTCTATGAAAGAGCACGAGAACCAGTGGGGAGTGTTAGCATCACTGTCAGAAGCCAATGCAAATGGGGACTCACCCCTAGAAAGGCATTCGCTCATCAATCATATGAGCGTTGATGAATAACAACATCTGGAAAGACACGGCATTACGTAAAAATGCAGAGAATTATGCTAGATTTCATCTGCTAGGGGTAACCTCCATCTGTTGCATAACTGAATAAAAAAGGTAATTTCTCAAGACCAAAACAAAATTTCTGATTAAATCTTAAGAATTATAAACTGTGGTTGTCAGTGAGAATATAACGCTCTCTGTTGAAACATAAAAAGGGTGGACAGAAAAACTCGAATCCATTTTTCCCATGACGAAAGATAAAAAATTACAGAGGTTATGAGAAAATGGGAGTTCCATTATTCACATGTTGATATTGAGATTTACCTCAGATCTGTATCATGTGCTGCAACAGCCTAAATGAAGCATTTTGCTAACCTTTAATCTTTGAGATGAATTATATGACCGCTGCCAAAAATGCTTCAGTTTTGCAGAAAATCCATATAATATTTCGACACGCCGGCCAAACCAACTTGCTAAACAGTTTTAAGGGTAAAATCTATTGGTTTTGTGGAAACCCAAAGTAAATGTATATGCTCTCAGGGCAGAGAGGTTGAGTTATTTTGGACACGAGCTTTGGACTCCATGCTTTTTGTGTGCCAACTCGGCTACAGTCAGTATGTCTCTGTCTTGTTGAACACAGTTGTAGAGAGCCATGTATTTTGGTAAAAATATGCTTTCATGTAGCAGTCTGGGGATGATCATAAATGCCTGAATGATTGATGTAACGAGAGAGAGAAAGAGAATGAGAGAGCGAGAGCGAACTGTAGAGGGGTTCAAGGAATATGTGACTCACGTGGACTCAAAACAAGGTTAGTATTAAGTACAGATGTGTTTTCTGCATGGTAACCTGTCTGGCATTCTCAGGATTAAAGTGCAACCATGCATCGTACTAACTTAAACGTGTGTATTAAGTTTTATTGTAGCTTTACTTAATAATTTCATCATGTCGAATTTGCTTCATTACTTGCGGCTGATTTGTCATAATTTGCGAAACGGAATGTAATTTTAAACCAGTGCACTATTACCTCTATGCCCTCTTTGCTCAAGGCGTACTCGTCGAAGTTGAGGATGGCTGTTTTGATGGTGCGAGGAGGTGGCAGGACCGTCAGGCCAATGTTGATGGCGTTACTTCTCTTGGAATCCAGGACGATGATCTCCTGACGCTTCCCATCTGCTGCCGTTTTCTGAAATCAGATATATAAACAGATTAATCCTCAAAGTTATTCACAGTGACCATACTGTGATGGGTTTAAGGCTAACATATTCTGCTGAAAAGCTATTTTTCAAGCAACAGAGTGTTTCTATGACAATGCGATTTTTTTTTCATTTTTTTTTATACTCTCACTCATTCATGCATCACAGGAAAATTATCTGATTCTTTTTAAATGACCAACACAAGTCATTTACATCAGATCTCTTTTACGTGTTTTTTTGCGGGATAACATTTTGTGGTGGATATGAGAGTAATAGAAACACATCTAAAAAATTGTCTAGCATTTTATGAATAAACTCTTAATTAAACATAATTTGACAAAATGCTGTTCAATAAAACTACTACATTCACTTTCGCTTGTTCAATTGTTGGTTGTACTGCAAACGACACTGTGGAACATAGCCTATGTACATCGTTAACAATACATTTTTAAATATATGTTTATTAATTTATAGGCTTATTGTATAGGCCTAACTCAAAACAAGAGTTTAGAGACAGTACGATTTTTTTCTTTTAAAGACATTAAAAAATTTTCTAGTCAGCAAGGGTGCAAAAGTGACAATAAAAAAGTGCCTTTCACATTGTTACAAAATCTTTTTCAAATACATATTTCATCAAAGAATCCTGAAAAAAAAGTTTCATGGTTTCCACAAAAATATTAAAAGAAGCACAAAATTGATGATAAGAAATCTTTCTAGTTCCCACAACAAGGCTGGTTCACCCATTGCATAGCTTACCATACAGATACACATCAATTCCCCACACCAAATACGAAATAAGGCTCCGTCAGCCTGTTCTTACTCTCACGCTGGCCACTGAACTCAATAGGAAAGGCATTTCTTTAATGTGGATAATTACCTTAAAAATGGCTTCCTGAGATATGAACGCAAAACACTGGATATGTTTAATGTTTACTTGCAGAAAAGGCACGCAAACACCTGAGGGCTATTTTGGGACTTTGATGGAGAATATTTCTGGAGGAGCAGAGCTGGTGTCTGCTGCCAAACGGGGGGGAGGAGGGAAGAGGACAAAAAAAAACGGAGGGAGAATGGGCCGAAAATGAAAAACAGCTGGAAAAGGTTGCTCAGAGCAGAGAGGAGAGGAAACCCCATGCAGGCCACATTTCTGAAACACCATCTAAGAGCGAACAAGCCAAATAATAGGATAGATCTTCATCTTAAGAACACCAATTCATCTCCAACACTTAAAATCTGTGATGGTGTTCATTCAATTTAGTCAGGGATTTATCTCTAGATATGTACAACTTGGAATGATGGTGTGGTTCATATTTTAGTGTACAACACGCACGAACTCCGAGATCCCCATGTGTTACAGAAGAAAGGCCCAGAAAAGATCAAAGTAACCTCTTAGCAGCTATGGCTTGTGTTCATGTGTGCTGCTGACAAAAGCCAGGTAAAAGCAGAGCAATAAAAAAAAAGTATTTTTTGTTGCGTGGGCAATTTGCTACCACAATATAGGCTGCTGTTTGCCAGCACATTCCCTCAGACAAACTATTTTATAGGGGTCATGGCATTAGAAATCAAATTTGTTTTGATCGTTTGACATATGATAGGTCTTTGTATCATTAAAACACCCTGAAAGTGTCCTAGCTTAATATGTCATCCTCATTATAAACAAAGCTTTTATTTAATCAAGCTCCAAAACAGCTTGTTTTAATATTGCCAGACATGTGACTTTAGACAGGAAAATACATTTGCAAATGCCTGTCTCCAGAGTAAGACATTGACGAAGAGTTATACATCATCGCACCATAGGCCCGGCCCACTGGCATTTAGTCGCTTAGTGGCTAAAATTTGCCTACACTGTATGTGAGCGTCACGTCAAAAGCAAATAAAACCCAATATAATCATGGACACAGTATACGGTTGTGCGTTCAGTTTCTGACAAACTGCACACACTTGAGTCTGTCGACACAACAGTATATTTTTATTATGCCATTTATTGTGAGTAGCTGCTATATATCGGGGCACTGCCCACAAGGCTATGGCTTTGAAAAGTTTTGTTCTGTTTTAAGTTGTTTTGATTGGGATACTTATGAGAGAGAACGTTGCTGTACTGAATGGACTGTATAGAGAGCCTAAGTCCCGCCCCTCCGCTTCCGGCTCATGGGACCTTATTTCGGAAAAAATATCAATGGTAGTCAATGGCGAGAGACAACTTATCTTTTTATTCCGTCTGAACTGTGCCCTCAATTACACATATGATGTTTGTCAATTTAAAAGATAATTCTGAAAGTCAAAAACGTCGCAGTTTGTCATAAAACAGAAGAGTAACATATTTAGTTTTATGTGAAAATCGCTCTATGAACTACATCTCCCAGGAAGCAAAACAACGAGTGAGATCCGCAGCTCGTGTGTGTGCAGTCTGTTACAAAACACTCAGGTATGACGGCGTAACATTACGATCATAACGTAAGACAGTAGAAACAATGACAGACATTAGCCTCAGTAAAGTTAGCTTCATTCGTTGAGAGAAAATGTGCGCCTTTGGGGTTTGTAGTCTTTGTAATTACGTATTTTCACAGTCTTATACCTCAACGGTTTTACATTAAACTGCGACTTTCTTTACTTTAAAATGTATCTTTTAAATTGACAAACATCATATGTGTAATTCAGGGCAAAATTCAAACGAGATCAAAATATTTGTTGTCTCTCGCCATTGACTACCATTCAATATTTTTCCGAAATAAGGTCCCATGGTGGTCGACCGGAAGGGGAGGGACTTAAGCTCTCTATTACAAGCACAGAACCATAGACTGTAAAAAAGATGGACGACGCCCCTTCGCTCTTTTCCATCAGAGAGAACTGAAGTCGCCAATGTCCCGATATGGCGCTGACATCTTAGAACTTGAGTCTGCGCACTTGCGTTTTCAGGACCAGACATGCGCAGTCGTGAGCAGGAAGTAAAGTTGCAAAATCAAGGCCGCGCCCTCACTCTCGCTGAATCAAACGCAAGCACACGCCCCGCACTTTCATTAAGTGGCCTCTGTCTGCTCCGTTCTTCTCCAATGGTGTCTGCTGATTGCAAAACCTCGTTAAAATAAGGTAAATACAACTACTAACCACATAGTCAACATTATGAAAAAAAGTCTGATGGTGCTTCAGTGACTACTTCGCACAGAGAACCTGTCAATCACAGCTGTCAATCATGATGTCACAGCACCATTTTTATAGCATCACATAACTAACTAAAAACAAACTTATTTTAAAAACAAACTCTTGAAATTACATCAAAGTGATAGAAACTACAATAAATGACAGAAACTATCTTTGGATGAAAGATAAGTGTAATTTAATTGTTTAGTTGGTCTCACGTCCCGTTGAATAACATGAGGAGGTGGGGTTTTGGCTTCACTTTTGAGGGCTTGTGCGGCACGCTTGCAAAGAACTTATGAAGAACTAGTAAAATTACGTGCAAAGCCTGCAATCCCACACCGAAATTCATATTATGGAAAATTAATTTATAACCACTGTCCGTTGTATGAGGCAAAGCAAGTTTGAAACATCAACCATAACCAGATAAACTGGAATTAAGTACAGATTTTCTTGTAAACTGAAAAGTAGTTACTAAGACCCTAGTGTGAACTTTAATTTTAGGTAAGACCATCTGAATGGCTGCTGCACCCTTACCCTGGTCTATAGAGGTAACTGGTTCCACATTCAGATAAAGTCTTTTAGATTTTAGAGATTTCTTTAACCCATTTTATCACCCCAAAGTGAAGACCATAAGCACCACTAATTGTAATGACACTGATGAGGAAATAATTAATGTAATATTATGTAAACCAATAATCTTGAAGATTTAAGCAAAAAACAAAACAAAAACAACCTGATGATTAATATTTGGAAGAAACCTTTGTACCTTTGTAACTGGCAGCTCCTTGGATTTCGTCTCAAAGAGGTTTTCCAACTTGGCCGTGTCCAGTTTGACTGGATCCAGTTTGGACCACAGTGACTCCCTGCATCTCTTGTGGTTGTTGTACTGCCAGTCTATAGGTCTAACTTCATTCCAAAACAGCCGAATTGTCTTCTTCTTTTTTTGGAAGAGCGGGGGTTCTCCTCGACTAAGCTGAGGAGATCCAAGATGTGAGGGAGGTATAGAAGCCAAAAAGGGCGGTGGAGGGGGCCTCATCATGCCAGAGATAGGGGGAGGTGGGGGGCATCCAAATAAAGGTGGTGGAGGTGGAAGGCAAGGAGGAGGAGGAGGTGGCGTGAGGTCACTCGTCTCGATCACGTTACTGACATCCAAAATGTCCACATCATCCTCCTCTCCCAAGTCTGTGAAGTCCAGCTCTTTGATTCGAAGTTCACGTGGCATGGCCATTAGCTGGTCCCATATGTGGTCTGACTCCTTTTTGGGGGGTGTTGGTGAAGGAGCTGGTGGAGGCTTTTCCTGTGCTTGCTGCTTTTCCTTTCCAGAATGCTCCACCTCATGAGCCAATGCCAGTCCTTTCACCAAATCTCCAAATTTCTCAGCCACAGCCCTCACGCTACCCTGGTTATCGAGATGCTCCACTTCCAGTTTCTTCATGTTATCCTCACATGCCTGCCGATGCGCCTCCAGAGTGGAAATGCGACTAGCAAGGCTCGACACAGAGGAGTCCTGATCTGAACATCCTTTCTCATTCTCCTTTTCTTTCTCATTTTCCTCTCCCTTTTTGTTTTGGGAATAAAGCATGTCCAGCATGTAGCATTTGCTGTTAAGCACATTGTTGCACTGATCGTTGACGTCCGCTGTATTCATACAGTCTGCCCACTGGCCTAAGAGTCAAATTGAGAGCTAGTTTCACTAAATGTATGATTTCAACAAAACATGTTTATTTTTATGTTGTAGTCTGGCACGGATAAGGGGCAAACAGAAATGCTGGAATGAGTTTTTCCAGTGTAAAAAATGTGTTTAGTTTACTTTATATATTATTTTTTTATTTTATTTTATTCTTTTACTTTATCTACCAATGGTGGGTAAACTGGGAAAATGTGGAAATATAAGCCATAAATATTTCTTGCTGACCATGAAACTGCTGTTTACAGTTCATAAATTAATAAAATTAATTTATTTTATATTTATTTGAGTTTATATTTTATTTCATCAGCAAATGACAGGTAAAGTGGGAAAATAACCTTGAACTAGAAACAACCTCTACCCTAAATATGTTTTGCTGACAATGAGACTAGCCATATTATTAATATTATTATAAAAATCATAAAATTTTTATTATACAATTTTCTTTTTATTTTATATCATTTGGTGATTTGGCAATCCAATGAGAGTAAAACGCCAATAGCTGGTAACTTTACTATGAACTGCAACGTAAATCTTTTAAATCAAATTCTAATAACTGCCCAACCATCGCTGACACTAGTAATAATTGCTTCAAATAAAAGAAAATAATCTACTAAAGAAAATATCTTCCAACTTTTAAGGCATTTTTTACCATCAGAGGTTTATGTTAAAGTAGTTTCATGGTAGTAAAGAAATATGTTCATTTTGAACCATGTGGCGAATGTCATACCCTCTGCGTTGCACAGTATTTGATTTGTGTATGTGTTGTTCTCACCTGAGTCACTGTGACTGACGTGTTTCTCCTCTCGTTCTTCTCTCTCCAGAGTGCTGCTGGCTGAGGAGATGCTGGAGGCCGAGCAGTTATCTTTCTCATTCAGCTCCTCATTCTGCCTTTCCTTCTCACTCAGGACGACATTTGATACATCTCTATCTAACATCTGCTCTCTCTCACACTCCTCTGTACCCAGTCCGTTGGTTTCTTCCTCAAAGTGTCCTTCTGGTTCTTCTTTCTTTTCATATTCCATTCCACTCACCACCGTTTCCTCAAACACTTCTACCTCAGCATCCTCTGCTTTCTCCTCTGTCTCAGAGTTTGTTTGAACCAGAGAGAGGGAGACGTCTGATGGATCCACGGGGCTCTGTTCCTCCTCTGGTTTGGAGGGCGACACCGGCGCAGACGCTGAGGCAGAGAGAGGCTCACAGGAAGGCTGCACAACTGCTGCCTGCACAGGATGGCTTGTCTTGGACTCGGTTCCTGAGAAGAAGAAAAAAAAGATTGGCTTAGCACCCATTCCTGATAAGAGGCCCGACCAAAGGCCTAAGTTACAAGACCACACGATATTGCATGTAATAGGTGTTAGTTATGTCAAAGCCATGGACTTCTTAGCATTCCAGTGGAGTGGTATTGGTGGAAGGAGTATTCTCGTTCTAGAGAGCATCTGATTGGACAAAAAATAAATGTAGTGCAGAATGAGTCATCAATATATTTGATCTGTTCTCTGGGAAGAATGGGCTGTTGAATGCTTGAATCTGATTGGTTGATGAAATTTTACACAATTACCAGTACATATTTGTTATTTTTTTATTAAACAATTCAATAAACACAAAGTTAAAGCCACAATATGCAGTATTTCCTTTTATTTTTGTCAAACTGTAACCCCTAGACGCCCAACATTCAACCCGGAAATAGTCATATAACCATTGCAATAACTAGTTAAGGTAGAAAAACGGCATAGTGCTGCTTTAACAATGAGTATAATAAAATTTAGACACGTAATTGGTAGTTACTTGGTCTTTTTTTTTTTCGACAATAAAAATTTATTCTAAAATAAAAGTGTTCTCAATCGTTGTTTTTGAAGAAAAAAAGTGTTAAGCATACAGTATGATTCAGCATTCTGTATTTCTGTCTTGTCTTAAAGGCTGTGTTACAGTAAACCACATAACATTTGTAAAAGCAAATAAATAGAGGAAATTTGATCCAGCAGGGAATAAATAAACAAAATTCCACACAACGTTCCCATCAAAGGTTTTGCATGGATACACGTGTTTGCCTGTACAGGCAAAATATGAAAGCTGAATGACAGAGCTGTTAAGTCAGTAAGGAAATACTGTATATTATGAATATTGTAATTATTTAATTATATAATTAATTATGTAAATATACTTTTTTAGTACTGCTGAAATCTTATTCTTCAATATTTTCCCAGTTCATCTACCCTGATCTTTCTTGTTTTGAAGGAAGGAACAAGAGTCTCAAAATGGGAGGAGCACAGACCTCTGAAACCACAGTCTGATCCACACTGCTCTCTTTTTACACAGGGCCGGTCATGCTTTTACTCACTGACCACTGTTTGACCAATGTTCTGGCCTTCAAAAACCACATGAATGTGATACAACAAGAGTCTCACTGAATGGACAACCTCAAGCCACCCCACTCAATTATCATGTCACGGCTGATGGATGTCTTACTTTCTTTCTGCTTTTGTAATATAATTAAATATCACCCTGTTATTCCAGTAAATATTCTGTCATACCGCCACATTGTTACAGATATTTTTTGTTTCTGCTCCTGGAGCAATCTAAGGTTAAGGCAGGTCCTGCATGGTTTAAACTAACCTATTAGTTCACTCCTAAGCTACACCACTCAAAAAAATTAATGGAAAATACTGTAACTACATTTACATTTGTAATATTTTTTTATTAAAAACATTTGAATTTGCAACCATATTGCATGTATTTAATTAAATTATTGTAGACATTCTCACACTTTAGTTTAGGTAACTAACTATAACTATCTAGATAGAACTCCTAATGTTTATTTATAGTTAGTAAGGTAGTTAAAGTTTAGGTATCGGATAGGATTCTGGGATGTAGAATATGGCCATGCAGAAGGCAATAATATATGCTTTGTAAGTACTAATAAACAGCCAATATCCTAGAAATATGCATGATAATAAGCAACTAGTTAATAATGAGATTTAGACCCTAAACTACAGTGTTAGCAACAATTTGGTACCATTTTTTTTTTTTTTTTTTTTGGTACAAATTTTTACCAGTGGCTTTTTTTGGAAGGTTTTTAAACTTATGGAATGAAAATTGAAAAAACAACAATCTGAAAATGAAAATTCTTTCATCACTTTTTCATCACTTATCACTTATGTTTGTTTGTTTGTTTGGTCCATACAATGAAAAGCAATGTTGTTTTGACAACAGGTTTGGAACAACACCAGAGTGAGGTCTTACATTGTTCCCCTTTCATAGTTCAAACTGCATACTTACTGGATTCCTTTACTACCCAAGAGCTGCTATTAAGATGAATGGGAATCCTTATAGAAAAAATAAAACTAAGATTAAAACGTGATTACAATTTTCAGCTGAATTTCTCTCAAGCTAATGGAAAACTCCACAGGGAGACTGAGTGATTGACCAGGCTCCAGTCGTTCAGCCCGTTCATACCCACTCCAGCCTCTCAGATTCAGATGTGGCTGCAAATAAAAGACTGACTGACCACTGACCCAGTTTCAGAAATTTTGGTTAATATTTGAGGTCAATAAACCTCAAATAAATGTAATTTTTCCCCAATGGCTGACTTCCCCAGTGGCTTTACATTGTTTTCATTACAAAACATTTGTGTGGTAACGGCTCGATTCCACACTTTGGAGGAAAAGCTAAGACTAGAGTTTTTTCCAGAAATGTCACACTGTATTACTTTACACATGGAGAAATCTCACCTTGTGCTGGATGTTTGACAGAGCGTGTCTCCTCCTGAGCCTCTACAGTCAAAGGGGTAGCAGAACGAGACAATGAGCTGCCGGAGGATCGTGAACTCAGGCTAAGAGTGATTTCGGTTCGCCCCCGTGTTGTCGACCTCGGACGTCCCCTTTCATTTTCCTCTGCTGCAAGCCGCTCTATTTGCTTATATCTGCATACACCATATAAAACACAGTGGAAGTCACTAAAAAACATTCAACACCAATGCTGTTTTTTAATTTTTTTTTTTAAAGCAAAATTCAAAAAATATCATGTTTTACATACAATTACTTGAACACACCTCTTCCATGATGACTATAGTTTTAATCTATGAATTTAAATTTATTTGAGGGCATAAATGTTAATGCTAACAGTAGGTGATAGTCAGCTACAAGCACGGAAGCCCCCATTGTAGCAGACTATCACTGTTAGCATTCCATTCATTTTGGCATCACTTTGACCCCGCAGAAGCAGTTTTTATAAAAATAGGCTAACGATTGCATCATAACGAATCGACTCTCCGTCGCACAGTTGAGAAATACCGTATAGACAGGAGGAGAAGCTCGCAGGCAATCGATGGGACGTGGAGTCAGAAAGTCCGATAAAGTCAAGGGAGAAGCCCATAGAGAGTAATAAAGTTGATCCTGCTGCTAGCTCATGGACAGCTAATACTCATTCTCTCCGTCTCTGTGAGATTCGGAAAGGGAATTATTCAGATTTCACTGTTCACACTGAATGGGCTTCAATTTTCTCTTTTGAAATCAATGGGGTCGCTGTGTCCATTTCTGGACATTTTAATTTATTTTTACAAAAAAAAAAACAAGAAGAATGCTCTAAATTGCAGTTTTTACCATTCAATTCTATGGGTACCCATTTTTGGGCAAATACGGGATTAAGGAGTTTAGCATTTAACATTGTAGAAATGAGTCAAAAAAATGTGTGTGTGTTCTGGAGGCAAACTTAGGAAAAGTAGCCAAGTCTTGTACCGCTCAGGGGTGCGTTTTCCGAAAGCATCGTTAGCCAACTATGGTCGCAAGTTCCGTCGTTATCTGCATAGTTTAACGAGTCGGTGTTTCCCGAAACCATTGTTACAATGAACATTCGCAAACAACATCGCAAAGTTGTGTGGTTTGAACGACAGCTCTCGACCTGTGGTTAGAGGCATCGTTTCTATATTGCATCACATTTGGAGGTAATAAATCCGTATATTGAGCAAAATAAGCAATTTACGAAATGGAATTTACGTCTTTTAGTTTGTCAAAAGGTTTAAAGTACCGTGTTTGAAGATTGCGCATCTGCGAACGTGCATACTATGTAAGAACGAGCCAAATATTGAGTCTGGTAATAAAGCAAAACAAATGAGAACAATTAGAAATAGTCCTCAGATGACATGTCTGTAATTTATATAAAACAAATCTAGCGTTAATTGGCTCTCAAAAAGTTTCATTAAAAGTAGTTATTACTCCACCACGTGCAAAACCAACGTGGTTGAACGACACTTTGGGTTTCGGGAAACAGCCGTGACTAGCTAGTTGATTTTTCCAACGATGCATCATACTATGGTAGTGAATCAGCGAACTACGTCGTTGTACAGGAAACGCACCCCTGATCAAGAGAAGTATTTAAAAAAAAAAAATTGTCCAGAATACGGTTTTAGGGTTAAAACAGTGCATCAGCACATGAATGACATGTTTAACTAGCAAGACTTTGATGCACATGCAAATAATGAACTTTTGTGAATTGCAGTGTCCCGTGAGTGACATGTGATGTGAATGCACATCGCGCACAGTATGTTGAGATGAAGGCGCCAGAATTTAATAGAATGCACAATACTGATTGATTTTTCTTCAAAAGCAGATCGTGGAGACATTTTAATCGTCCACGATCAAAAACCGTGATGGCACACTCCAAGTATGAAGTTGCTGGCGCTCATGCTTCGTTCACAGTCGTCACGTGCGCATAGGAAACACACCACCCAACAGGCAGTAATATTCATATCTGCCGATGCCGATGATGGTCATTTTAAGCTTTTATCGGCCGATGCCAATGTTGTCCCGATATCATTGTGCATCCCTACCTCCCACTATCCTGCCTGTATCGCTTCCTTGTCAACACGGATGCTGTCTGCTCCTCCCCTGTCTTATCAATCCCAAAAATACACACCAGCACTAACATACAATATTACCAAAAACAAGAACCAGATGTTTCATAACTATATAACATTTCCTTTATATCACCTGAATCCTTTAATTCCATCACATAGTTATCCAATACAGTGAGGTTCACAAAAAAAAAAAGGTTCGAAAAGACCTTGACTTTCGATAAGATCTAAAATAAATGCAAAGACATGGAGTCGTTCCACTTGCCAGGATGAATGTGTTTAACATTTACTGTAAATGGAAAAAGCCCATGTCTAAAGTCAATTACACACCTTGTGTTGTCGTCTTTAAAAGTCTTAATCTACAGCAGCCGTTCAGGGGCTCTGACGCCATATTTCACCTGCAGCACGTGCCGACACGCTTCCCATCTGCTGCTCGTTCTAATAAATGTTTTCAAGGTGTATTACTATCAGTGCGCTGATAATTGAATTGGGCTCAAAGCTTTATGATTTATTTGCATTGGACTGCATTAATTTATCCAATATATTTGGAATGCTCATCTTTGATAAGACACTGATATTATTCATTACAAAAAAAGCAGAAGAATTTTTGGCATGAAGATTTTCTGAACTTGATTTCAGTGTCAGAGATATAAGGAATGTTTTACCCTAGCAACCAGACACTGCAACAACATCAACAATAAAAATGTGTATTACTATCATGAGTAGTAATACATCATGAATCCATACTTATTGTTTGTATGGACTTTTTAGCTGCATTGTAACAGATTTTGTTTCCATTTTATTGCATAACTGGAGACTGATATTGTATGATATTTTATTGTTCTATATATATATATATATATATATATATGAACTGAAATGTTTCTTGAGCAAAAAATCAACATATTAGTCTGGAGTAATGATGCTGAAAAATTCAGCTTTACCATCAGAAATAAATGACATTATATATATATATATATATAAAAAACATAATTATTATTATTTTATTATCATTACACATTTTATCTTTAAAATGTATTTGTTTAATGATTATATTCTACTAATTATATTATATTATATTATATTATATTATATTATATTATATTATATTATATTATATTATATTATATTATATTACATTATGCTCTATATATGTAAAAGTCAGTCGGGAATAAATACCTTTCTTCTCGTGCTTGTTTGACCTCTTCTCTCTTGTCCACATAATCCCGACTGCAATGAAGACAATAAACATGAGAAAACACATACAAGAAGCGAAAAAGTTCCTGGGGTTAAATGATGTTTCATGTTAATTAAACAATATCAATTCAAGTTGGTGTTTTTGTTATTACACAACAGTAGAAGTTCACTATAGGACTTAAAGACATGATAGGATTGAAAAAGATACAGAAAGAACAAGCATTTGTCTTCCAGCAGTTCACCGTGATTGTTCATCCTCTGTTCTAAATGTTGTTTTCTTTTGAATGACCATAATAAGAGGCAATAACTTCCAATCAGGAAAACTCCCAGATCTCCGATAAAAAATTGGATAGAGACCTCAGCTGTTTGAACAAAATGTTTCTCATGGTCATCTCCAACATGAGAGACTCGGAAACTAATCAGACATCGAAAAAGCTGATATATTTGTCATATTACTGAAATAATGTAGCCCTGGGTGCATACAATAATGGCATCATAATGAAATGCTAAGAAAGGCCACAAACTTGAAACGGCTTCTCTCCTCTCTTTCAATCCGCTGAAGTCTTTCCTCTCTCTCCAGGCGCCTCCGCTCACGTTCTGCATTCAGAGAGTCCTGGTGCTGCCTGTAGGAAGAGGTTAACAAACCCCCCAGCGTCGGCCTGGAGGACCAGAGAAATTAAAGACGATCAATATTACAGAACAGCAATATTTGAATTAATCAGTTTTCAAAATTGCATTCTGGGGGGTAAAAATAGAGTTCCCATGTTCGCTTCAACCCATAGTAGACTAAAAAACAACTTATCATGTGCATTTGAATTAATCGTATGTGTTAAAGGGACAATGTGTACTTTTTTATGTATTTTATTATTTCAAATCAATATTTTTATTAATAATTATGTCCTCAATGGTGTACAAATACCTCTGCCAATTATCGGACTTATGCTCGTAAACAAAGAATTAATTAAAGCTGCAAGCAGCGATGGGCGGGCCCTCGCACCTGTAGCACGTCGGGGTCTAAGGCGGCCGCGTTTCATTTTCTGCAGCTCAGCCAGTGCGGCTGTGCATTTGCCACACTGCTTCGTTAAAGGCCACTTCCTGTTGCCAGCAGGTGGCGCTATGACTGTGGGTGAATGTCGGCATGTAGATTTGATCAGGGCGGGACTCTTGTCAAATGTGTTAAATTTCGTGCAGATCTGGGCATTTACAGCCAAGTTACTACAACTTCCTGTTTCATTGCGAATCATCGACGCCACGGACACGCCCATCGACGAAAACGCGCAGATAGCACAACTTTTCATCGTCAATGCCTTTAGAAGGCACATCAGAAATGTGATGTCGATCCGACTAAAGCCCTAGGAGGAGTTAGTTAAAGTACGTAATGAGTAAATCATCCAAAAATGGCGGTAAAATTAGAAATGGCTGACTTCCTGTTGAGTTTAGGGCATCGCTCCAAGAGACTTTTCTGTGCGTCTGGACATGGTAGATGTACCACAGAAATTTCGTACATGTCGGTCAAACATGCGACGGGGGCTGCTTCGTTAAATGTCACTTCCTCTTGCCACTAGGTGGCGCTATGAATGTGGGTGAATGTCGGCATGTAGATTTGTTCAGGGCGGGACTCTTGTCAAATGTGTAAAATTTCGTGTAGATCTGGGCATTTACAGCCAAGTTACTACAAGTTCCTGTTTCATGGCGAATCATCGACGCCACGGACACGCCCATCGACGAGAACGCGCAGATAGCACAACTTTACATCGTCAATGCCTTTAGAAGGTACAGCAGAAATTTGAAGTTGATCCGACTAAATCCCTAGGAGGAGTTCGTTAAAGTACGGAGTGTGTAAATCGTCCCAAATCGGTCGCCGAATTCAAAATGGCGGACTTCCTGTCGAGTTTAGGGTATGGGTTCTTGAGGCTTTTTTGTGCGTCTGGTCATGGTAGATGTACCACAGAAATTTCGTACATGTCGGTCAAACAAGCGGCGGGGCTGCTTCGTTAAAGGTCACTTCCTGTTGCCAGCAGGTGGCGCTATGACTGTGGGTGAATGTCGGCATGTAGATTTTGTTCAGGGCGTGACTCTTGTCAAATGTGTAAAATTTCGTGCAGATCTGGGCATTTACAGCCAAGTTACTACAACTTCCTGTTTCATGGCGAATCTTCGACGCCACGGACACGCCCATCGACGAAAACGCGCAGATAGCACAACTTTACATCGTCAATGCCTTTAGAAGGTACAGCAGAAATTTTAAGTCGATCCGACTAAATCCCTAGGAGGAGTTAGTTAAAGTACGGAGTCTGTAAATCGTCCAAAAATGGCCACCAAATTCAAAATGGCGGACCTCCTGTCGAGTTTAGGGTATGGGTTCTTGAGGCTTTTTTGTGCGTCTTGATATGATACACGTCCCTACCAAATTTCGTGCATGTAGGTTGAACGTGGACGAGGGGCTAATTTTTTCCAATTTTCTAGGTGGCGCTAGCGTGCCATTTTGCCCCGCCCATCTGCGAAACCCACAAAATACGAAATTTTTCACCAGTCCTGACATGCGTGCCAAATTTGGTGAGTTTTTGAGCATGTTGCGGCCCCGAAAATGGCGCTTACTTTGCAGAAAAAAGAAAAAAAAAATTAAAGCTGCAAGCAGCGATGGGCGGGCCCTCGCACCTGTAGCGCGTCGGGGTGTGAGGCGGCCGCGTCGCATATTTTGCAGCTCAGCCGGTGCGGCTGTAAATTTGCTACGCTGCTTCATTAAAGGTCACTTCCTGTTGCCAGCAGGTGGCGCTATGACTGGGTGAATGTCGGCATGTAGATTTGTTCAGGGCGGGACTCTTGTCAAATGTGTACAATTTGGTGCAGATCTGGGCATTTACAGCCAAGTTACTGCAACTTCCTGTTTCATGGCGAATCATCGATGCCACGGACACGCCCATTGAGGAAAACACGCAGATAGCACAACTTTTCATCGTCAATGCCTTTAGAAGGCACAGCAGAAATTTGAAGTCGATCCGACTAACTCCCTAGGAGGAGTTAGTTAAAGTACGTAATGAGTAAATCATCCAAAAATGGCGGTGAAATTAGAAATGGCCGACTTCCTGTTGAGTTTAGGGCATCGCTCCAAGAGACTTTTCTGTGCGGCTGGACATGGTAGATGTACCACTGAAATTTCATACAGGTCGGTCAAACATGCGACGGGGGCTGCTTCGTTAAAGGCCACTTCCTGTTGCCAGCAGGTGGCGCTATGACTGTGGGTGAATTTCTGAATGTAGATTTTTTCAGGGCGGGACTCTTGTCAAATGTGTAAAATTTTGTGCAGATCTAGGCATTTACAGCCAAGTTACTACAACTTCCTGTTTCATGGCGAATCATCGACGCCACACACACACCCATTGACGAAAACGCGCAGATAGCACAACTTTACATCGTCAATGCCTTTGGAAGGCACAGCAGAAATGTGAAGTCAATCCGACGAAAGCCCTAGGAGGAGTTCGTTAAAGTACGTAATGAGTAAATCATCCAAAAATGGCGGTAAAATTCGAAATGGCCGACTTCCTGTTGAGTTTAGGGCATCGCTCCAAGAGACTTTTCAGTGCGTCTGGACATGGTAGATGTGCCACAGAAATTTTGTACATGTCGGTCAAACATGCGACAGGGGGCTGCTTCGTTAAAGGTCACTTCCTGTTGCCAGCAGGTGGCGCTATTACTGTGGGTGAATGACAGCATGTAGATTTGTTCAGGGCGGGACTCTTGTCAAATGTGTAAAATTTCGTGCAGATCTGGGCATTTACAGCCAAGTTACTACAACTTCCTGTTTCATGGCGAATCATCGACGCCACGGACACGCCCATCGACGAAAACACGCAGATAGCACAACTTTACATCGTCAATGCCTTTAGAAGGTACAGCAGAAATGTGAATTTGATCCGACTAATTCCCTAGGAGGAGTTCGTTAAAGTACGGAGTGTGTAAATCGTCCCAAATCGGTCGCCAAATTCAAAATGGCAGACTTCCTGTCGAGTTTAGGGTATGGGTTCTTGAGGCTTTTTTGTACGTCTGGTCATGCTAGATGTACCACAGAAATTTCGTACATGTCGGTCAAACATATGGCGGGGGCTGCTACGTTAAAGGTCACTTCCTGTTGCCAGCAGGTGGCGCTATGACTTAGGGTGAATGTCGGCATGTAGATTTGTTCAGGGCGGGACTCTTGTCAAATGTGTAAAATTTCGTGCAGGTCTGGGCATTTACAGCCAAGTTATTACAACTTCCTATTTCATGGCGAATCTTCGACGCCACGGACACGCCCATCGACGAAAACGCGCAGATAGCACAACTTTACATCGTCAATGCCTTTAGAAGGCACAGCAGAAATTTTAAGTCCATCCGACTAAATCCCTAGGAGGAGTTAGTTAAAGTACGGAGTCTGTAAATCGTCCAAAAATGGCCGCCAAATTCAAAATGGCGGACCTCCTGTCGAGTTTAGGGTATGGGTTCTTGAGGCTTTTTTGTGCGTCTTGATATGATACACGTCCCCACCAAATTTCGTGCATGTAGGTTGAACGTGGACGAGGGGCTAATTTTTTTCAATTTTCTAGGTGGCGCTATCGTGCCATTTTGCCCCGCCCATCCGCGAAACCCACAAAATACGAAATTTTTCACCAGTCCTGACATGCGTGCCAAATTTGGTGAGTTTTTGAGCATGTTGCGGCCCCGAAAATGGCACTTACTTTGCAGAAAAAAGAAAAAAAAAAAAAAAAAAAAAAAAAAAATAATCCTAACAGTTTCAATAGGGACCTCGCACTGTTAGTGCTCGGGCCCTAATTATCTTTATATACATGGGACGGGTAGGTCCACGGAGGCTTCCATGTAGTTTCACCATCTTGAAAAACTAAAATAGCAGAGAGGGACAAAAAGTACTAGGCCAACGAGTTTCCACAGCACGTTTTCGTTCAGAGCCAGCGTGACGTAACTGAAAGCAGGAGGAGCAGAGCAGTGAGAGGCACTTGTCACTGCCCCGGCAAGTTTAAAAGGATGCACTTCAAATCCTTGTCGCCAGAAAAGTCCAAAATAGAATTTTTTTGTGACCAAAGATTACAAAAAATAAACAGTTGATGTCAGTTAATGTCGGGATAGCTTTTTCCAGGTGGATAGAGCTAATACAGGAGAAAGATTTCAAAGGAGACGCTGAAGTCCTGCTTTCTTCTCGACAGGTAAATCAATGTTACAGTCTTAATTTCAAGCTTTTTTTCAATGTTTGATTGTGTACTTTATTTTATAGACAGATGAACCAGGGGCGGTTTCTTCATTGGGGCGATTGGGCGACGCACCACCAAAGTGTGAATCATCACACTCACAATCTCATTCAACCAGAGAGTTACGCTAGCCATCACTATATAGTCCAATCAGTGTCATGTCACGTTCTGTGGAGTACCGCCTCTTTTTGGGCGATTTCACTCTGGCTGAAAATCGCCCAGAGTGTTCCCATAGACTTACATTCAAAGATGTTTTTTTTCGAACTGCAGGCACTGCAACGCATTCTCTATGGGTTCCGGGAGGGCTCGCACTAACGTGCTTACATCATCATACGTATCCTTAACTTGTGCAGCGATTGGTGGGAACAAACATCCACTATTAAAAATCTTTAATATTAAGTGACCAATAATATTTTAAAACAATTTTAACTTCAAACAGCAACAATAAAAAATGAAACACTACTTAATTATCTTTATCAAATTGATTAAAAAAAAAAAAAGCGAGAGCGAGAGAGACTGTTGGGACATCTCGCGAGTTGTGGCTACAGACAGTTGAACTTGAACAATGCCATGGCGAACACAGTCCTTTAGATGCCTACACAGCAAATTTCAGGAGTTGAAAAATCATGAGTTAGGCAAAAAAGAGTTAAAAAGAGTTACTTTTGAGTTATTTTTTTTTAACTCTGACTACAATTTGTGTTATTGGATACTCCCCGGCTGTGTTGTATTTTGGAGTTCATTCATTGGTGTTCAGGAGTGTGTTTTGGTTTAACACTAGCTACACCTGGAGTTATTTTTGAGAAATGCGCCTCGACACGACCCTGCCGCTGGATAAAGGAATAATGGACTTATGTGCCTCGTCGTGAGGTAGGTAAAAGAGTATATAAACTATGTACAAATGTTCTATATTTTCTGACAAACACGTTTGGTCATCGCGTAGCTGCTACGTTATAGGCTAGTTATACTGTTTACTAACGTCAACGATTATGACAAACTTGCTGTTGAACGTTTGTTTACTTGTTTCAAATTTTGAAATGGCTATTTGCGTGGGGTTTTTGTCAATGTAAACGAGTTAACATTAGCTAACCGTCTTTCCATTCACCGTGTTTCTGAAAATGAGTGTTTTACCGTGAAGTTGATGCATCAGTGCATTACAGGCATACGTGGTTACACAATTGCAGTGTCTAACGTTACCCTGGAAAATAAGATAGTTGTGCTGTGTAGGCCTGCAATGATTTGAATTGTAACAGCTATAACGTTAGGCTACGTATTAGTGGTGACCCACGATCACATGTGCGTGATTTTCAGCTAATATATTTTTGCATTCTCAATGAATGGTGCTAGATTATGCCTCATACTGTTGTTTTTGTGATCTTCATATGCGACTGTCCTGCAGACAACCGGTTGAAGGTTACTCCTCCTCAAATCTGAACCAAATCGATTTGCTGAAATAAAGGCAGTAAATCAAGAATATGGTGTTCAGTGTAGTAATTTCCACACAAAACATTATATTGTGTTAAATAAATATTAACTCTAAGAAGTGTTAAACTAAATATTTTTTTTGAGTGTTACTTTTTAACACTGGTAATGAGTTCATATAATTATTTTTAGAGTTACATTTACGCTCCGTAGGTTTAGTATTTTAACTCCATAAATTTTAACTCCGAAAAAGTGTTAAATTCAACTCCAAGAGCAGAGTTATTTTAACTCTGCGCTGGAGTCTATTTGATGGTCTCACATGTACACTCAGATTGAGTTGATTTTAACTAACGGAGTTTATTCCAAAAAACAGAATTTGCTGTGTATGGAGGAGTGATCCAGCTCTTAGATATAATCAAAAATATCTTAATTTGTGTGCCGAATCTCTTTAATGTGATGTAATAAGTGTAATAATAGTGAGTATAGAAACAAGAAGATTTATTGTTATTAAGTCACTTTATTAGTCATTAATATTAAAGTGAAGTTGACTTTACATGCTTAAGCTTTTAATTTATCCATTGCATGGGTGGGCCTTGTCCTTATCAATCATCCAAATATTTGCCCCTCCTGAGAGATTTTGCAGGAGCCGCCACTGAGATGAACATATAGTTAAAAGTTGATGATGATATCTAAAAATGCACATACTACAGAAAATATAGCCTAATGAATAAAGAAGGCATAACGAATTACAATAGTTCATGTTTTTCACAGTCAGCAATTCATACTGTAACATTCGTTTGTTCACTGTGTCAAGTTGCTGTTTGCTTGAAAAGACAAACCTGTTCAAGGAACACTCGGTGAAGTGCTATTAGAAGACATCCTGTCATAGCTTTTTGGTACATAATGGCTACAAGATGCAATGCACATTTGAAAAAGAGGCACTGGAGAGTGTAATTCGTTTCAATGCAAAATAAATTTTTACTGCTAGATGGGAGATATTCCTACACATTGTCCCTTTAAGGCACACCTTCAGAAAAAATCTGATTTACACTACACCCATAAAATGATTGCAAAATGATTTTTTTTTCTGTGTATGAGGTGGAGAGGGGATTATTATTTTTATTATTATTTTTTTAAATATGACTTGTTTCATGTTTTATTATAAATATGGTGATTATCAAGAACATTGGCTCACCTATCCGGTCCTGGACCCCCAGACGGTCCCAAACGGTTGTGGGGTGTGGAGGGGGCACTGGACACCCCAGATGACCTGCCAGGATATGTTCCTGCATAGCCATTGCTAAATAAAGTTGGAAGAAGAATTGAATAGTCTGTTCATAGTTTAGCCACAAATTATTCAGCCACAAAAACAACAAATACTTTAATTAAATATATTTTTTTATATATATATTTGAAATATAAAATATTGTTTAAAAAAAAAAAATGTGGGGCCAGTAAGATTTTTTTTTTTTTAAGAAAGAAATTAATATTGTATTCAGCAAGACGGATTAAATGAATCAAAGCGCAAAACCGGCAGCAAAGACATTTATAACATCACAATAATTTTTTTTTTATTTAAAATTGTTTCCATATATATATATATATATATATATATATATATATTAACATTAATTTGGATTAAAAGGAATTTGGATTAAATTTTTTTGGGATTAAAAGGAATTTGTTGAACATTAAAAGGAATTTGTTGTCCTAAAGTTTACATCTTAAAGGCATAAAGCTAAAGTCTTGATTTATCCAAGAGAACAAATGACCATCTTTTCCATTCACTTCATGTATCATTCATATCATCAGCTAGTACACACAGACATGGGGATGAAGCTCTGAAGCTCTGAATGATGTATTTACTCCATCAGGACCACAACACTACGTAACAGATGTCCTGAGTGAAGAGGCCAATGTGAAGCCTTACAGACTCCCCAAAAAGCCAAGGACACACACACACACACACACACTTCTAAATTCAGACTTTACATGAGTAGGTGACAAAATAAAAAACTTCTTCCCAAATAAAGCAGCTTGCCAGTTCAGATCGCTGGCTGGAGATGTACGCGATATGACCTTGTATTGGGAGATATGATTGAAGACATGGGGGATCATTTCTCTGCACAATCCCATCTTCATTAAGAGAGGTCAGTGACATGCTGTCATTCGCTCCTTACACTTGCCTCTATGTTTAAGTCTGCTGTGATTCATTACACACATTATCGGAGTAAGAACTAAGAGCCGGGAATTAATCCTGGCTTAAAACCAATGGGAAAAACAGACACTGTTCTAAATTTTAAAGTGTTCCAGCACCTGACAGCATAAAAAGTCAAACACACTTTAAGGGGCTGTTTACACTTTCTCAGATCGGATTGCTATCTGATTTATCAAAACGATTCCATTTAGACCTGGTCACATAAATGTGTTTTTGCAAAAAGTATATAAATCCAATCTTCAATTCCCGCACTAAATGCAGATTTGATGAAGTGTACGTCACCGAAAGCAACAGGTATGAGCGGCATTATATTGATCATCAGCTAATTTCAAAATCAAAGACAGCAGTAAGAGAGAGCGGCAACAGCTCTGGTAAGATAATTTTGTTTCTTTAATTTTAATGAAGATGAGTGTGTGTTAATTGTCTGCGACTTACTTTCACATTTAATATTGCGACAGTTTTGCACGTTAGCTTGATGTATAGATGCTCAGCTGCTCATCTGCGGTAATGTGTGTTGCAGTCGCGTCGGCATATCTGACTATAACACAGTCTCATAACTCATAACTGACGTCTTGGGACGTCTTTTGACCATACATCAACATCCGCCGTTTTAGGGTACCCTTTAACGTCAGTTACATGACGATCCTGGGACGTCATACAACTGTCGCTTTACCTTTAACGGGGTAGGGGTAGGTTTAGGTCTGGGGTAGGGTTAGGATCCAATAACGTTTTAAAAACTTTTAAAATATATCAATATTAAAAACATTTTAGTAGGGCATTCCATTATCCATTTAAAACTATACTTGTAGACATCAAAAGACTTTTCACACTGTGCTTAACCCCATTATCATCATTCTAAACAACACTTTTTCCCGCTTAAAGCAGGGGTGTCAAACTCAGCTCCTGGAGGGCTACAGAGTTTCCAACCCTGCTCCAACACACCTAGGCTGCGTCTGAAAGGCAAAGTCCTCTGCCTACCCAGCTAACAAAGTTAGGTTCTGAGAACGTTTTTCTAACGTTCCATTTTGGTTGTGGGAACGTTAATTTAAAATGTTCTAAAAACGTGGAAATGTCCAGTTTGCTTAACGTTGCTGGAACGGTGTCTTAATGTTTGCAGAACGTTGCTGGAACGTTAGCATAATGTTGTTAGAACGTTATCCTAAGGTTAGCATAATGTTGCTGGAACGTTATGAGAACGTTTATCAAACACAAATAACCTGATAAAGACTTTCCGATAACGTTGTTCTAAGAACGTTTTTTATCAACGTAATGAGAACGTTCATCAAATACAAATAACGTGATAAAGACGTTCCAAGAACGTTGTTCTAAGAACGTTTTCTCTCAACGTTACAAGAACGTTAATAATGTTATATGAACGTTCCGAAAACATTATTTTAATAACGTTTTGTCCTAACATTTACACAACTTTTAAAGAACAATAGTGAATGTTCTGGGAACGTTCCCTGTTAGCTGGGTAAGTTTTTGGACGCAGCCCTACTCATAGTTTTCAAATAAGCCTGAATGACTTGATTGGCGGGTTTAAGGATGTTTAACTAAGGTTGCAGGTGCGTTTTCTGCAAGCTACACTGCAGGGCTGTTATGAGACCCTTCTCAGGACTTTTGCGGCGTTAACCCCGCATTGCGGTGCCAAACGTGTATGGAGTGAAACGATGCAGGGTTAGAATGTTAAACCTAGATGCTTAGCAACCGACAACCAATCACGTGCCTCGTTTTGGATCATCAAGGAAACACGTTGTATAAACATTATGTTTCAGTGTCTCAAGGGGAAAATGTCAATTGGACAATTAGAGTAAAGAAGAGACAATTTAATTCTTTCCTTTTTCGTACGAAAAGTCCTTTTAGGATAAACTTGATTGAACAGTCAGGCAATATGAAATGAGGATATGCAATGCCAAACATACTGTGTGCGCCATTAGCCCTGTGTGAAAGGTCATTGTATGAATACCCAGAGATAATTGTTAACCCTAGGTAAAGTACTGTATGAGCAGTGTGAAACGTGAAGGAAGATAACCCAGGAATCACTTTATCCATTCTGAATGACCCAGGGTTAACTATTTCAAGTATGAAAAGCCCTAAAGAGATGATCAAGCAAAGATGGGATAAAGAGCTTACGAAAAAGGCATAAGCCAGACTTGAACCAACATGAGAGCCACAACCTTTTCCTCTTAAATTGTGCACCAGAGCTCACAAACTTGATTTTGTTTCCAACTTGTTCCCTTACCTGCCACAAGAACTGCATGATGTGTTTGAGTACTTAACATCTGACAGACTGCACAGAAAAGACAGAACATGAAAAGTGAGTAATCGACACATAAATTACAGAAAGATTAGTCTGACTCAAAGCTGTGACGGAAACAGAGGAAAGAGTAACAAGTGCAGTCGAGAGACAAGTACAGAGACAATACAGACAGAACGTGAATCAAAGCAGCCTCTGTTTATTAGTGCAAATATCTGTTTAAAGGCCTTGCATTACCTACAAGCAACTTTTACCCAGTTTCACATACGGCTTAAACCAAGTCTCAGACTAAAATGCAGGTTTGAGCTATTTTAACTGAAAGCAACTTGCACTGACATGTCTTAAAATATGTCAGTCCCATTGTTTTGTCTCAAGATGCACACCAGTGAAGTTTTTATTTTAAGGGTGCGTCTATAAAAACGACTTAAACATCCTATTTAACTAAGGCCTAATCCTGGCTTAAACTAAGCAATGTCTGTGAAACCGGGGCTTTTATGCTTTTAAGAGCCAACCAAGAATAATCATAAAAATCTGTCAGAGTGAATATTAGCAATTGTTTTGCATGTAAAATAACTGCTTTTAAAAGATCATCAATGGCGAAAGATGCTTTTTGCCAAGTGGTGGTTATAACACATACAAGCAGGGGCAAATTGGACCATGCCACCGGTCAAATATGAACCCCTTACTTGCTATCGCTAGTGGCTTTAGTCATTGATAGTTTTCCAGTTTCACCAGAAGAGAAAATTTTGATGTCATGTTGACTTTATAAGTGTACTGTGCCCTTAGCATACTACTGTTATGCAATTACTTTATTACAGCATCAATCATATTAAAGCTGCATATTGAAGAGTTTGCATACAGTCTCAATGGACTAAAAAAAGAGATGTCTTTGATCCACTTCATAATCCAGATGGGTTCCTCAAGCTGCCGCAGTCTTAATGTCAGGCAAACATGCACATGACATTGCAAAGCATTTTCAGCTTCATTCTCATGAAATGTGGACCCTACAGGCACTGTTCAGGTTGAAATACAATTGCCCTTTTATATGTAACTTAATTTACAGGCTTCTCTTGGCTTTGTAGCGGTACAATGCCTCAATGAAAGGCAGATGAGTTGTAAATGTCAGTAAAAGTTAGCATCCTTTAGGGAGTGTCTTGCACTACAGTGGCTGGTTCAAGAAAAATAAAAAAAGAGACTTTAGTTTATAAATAAGTCTTTTTACATTCCATCAAATATTAAGGAACCAACATAAAACCCATTGAGTATAAAGATTTATCAGGCTATGATTGTACTAGTATAATATTTCTCCTTTTATTGGTCTGAGGATTTGATATATGAGACAGGTAAAGCCACAATATTGCACATGACCACAAGACACAGCGAGTGTAGCACTTTTTGTGAGGCTGCAATTTCAGGTGGACACAGGACATTTTACAGTGTTCTCTTGGAAGAGGATACAAAGGGATAGAGTGATGATCCACTAGGTGAGGGTCTGACTTTTTTCAGAAGGTAGGTTTGATGGAACAGGCAAAACAATAAACCCTCGCCATTCACAGGAGATCCAGAGATCAAGCAAACCCCATGTCACACTTCCTTCCTATCAGCGTATGAAAGTCCACAAATACTGTGGTCGTAGTGTTTGTGAGTCTTGAATCAGTGAAAAATGACATGGGTTTCCAAATGTTATCTCTCAGGGATCTCATAGCTTGACTTATGTGGGAGTGAAAGTCATTCTCTGAATCAGACATGCAGCATGAATGGCTCTATTCCAAACTTTATTGTCAGTATAGACAGATTTTGGTTTTAACATGTAGCTATTATATCAATCAGATGCTACTATTTCAGAACTGATTACAATATTTGTAATTGACTGTGACACAATGCCTTCTGGGCAGGGATGTATGGATGTATGGATAGATAGACAGAAAAAAGACTTCCTGTGAGGTGTGCCAAATTCAATCCAATTTCAAAATTGAAAGAGAGCCAATTATTAAGTACCAAATTCTGCACATCCCTGATTTTGGGATAGCTTTAACCCCAAATGATATTTGAGAAGCTGCCTTTAAATGTGACTATATTCTCCTGTCTACTGGAGCAGCTTTTGTGTCAGGAACATTCATATATGTGTCTATGAAGGCAGCTCACCAGGTTTTGGAACAGAGCCCATCTGTACATGCATGGCAAATTGTTCTGTGAGTGGCGAGAATCTACTGCGTCTATCTGCACTACCTGCAGTGCTTGTCTGGGTCTCGACCCTGCAGAGTGCCCCCGGAAACCTTGTCCGAATCCACTGGGCAAGCAGGAAGAAGGGTGGAAGAGAGCAGAGGGAGGACAGGGGACAGTGGGTCTTCGCTTGGGGAGGTGGAGGCTGAGGAGGTAACAGAGGAACCCTGGGTCGGGAGGGACCCCAAGGACCTGACCGAAGCCCAAGAAGACAGACTGGGTGATATCGGGGGGCCAAAATCAGGGCTAAAAGGAGGGGAAGACACTGGGGCCTTGCGGATAATCTTAATCCCAGGCCTGTCCCAGAGGTTTTCCTTATTGTCTGTATCAACGGCATTTGGAATGAAGTTGACCATGCACTTTAATGGCAAACACAAGCTAGAAGCTTCCTCTACTGTTGATGCCATCCAGCTACAAACAACAGAATAACAGCAGAAGTTCGAGTAAATGATGGGGAAACCATGATATGTTGGGAGACATTTATGTTAGTCAAGTCAGGGAAGAGATAGCATCAGAAAATGGATAAGGATCTACAGTCTGGTTTCTAGCTCTAAGACTCGACACCCTGGAATCCTATTCTGCTGAAATACCTTTCGGATGCCTGTCTAGAGAGCTCTGCTTTCTGTAGCTCCTCATCCTTCTCCTCCTCTTCCTCCTCTCTGTGGCGAAAAGGAGGTATTGAGGGTTGTAAGAAGGGATGGGCACAGGAAAGGAAAGGTAAAGCGAAAATGAAATGAGAAGAACAAGAACGTTCACCACATGCTCTGACGGTAGAAGAAATGACACAGGAAATCATAACACAAAACATATTACTCAACGTTACTTGGTTAAACTTTTCTGGTATTACAAAATGAAAGTCACATCAACACAACAAGAAGGATACAAACCACTGTGAATAAAGCTGCCTTCACATTTTATAAGGATGATTGTAAATATGAGTTATTTTACCAAAAACTTGAGAATCATCTACAAGCTGATTTTCTAGATAGAATGGTATGGGAATAGTGTGGGAAATGTTTATGGACGCTACACTTTCTTCAAAATCCGTTAAATATTGACTAAATATCTTCTTTACATTTTGGCTTTAATAAGCCAATTTTCCCAAGGAATATGCAAGAATGAAGCAACCGTCCTACATGATTCCTATTATTTCCGAAAACAAAGCAATTGAACACAACAAACATGTTGTGAATGAACGCAACTAGTCCAGTCAAGTCCAATTCTCAAAAAAATTACTCTGAGTCAGCTCTTTTTAATAAATCAAACACGATAACTTATGCCGCAATCAAACTAGACGCAAAATTTCACTGCAACATAATATGACGTTTTTGTTTAAATATAAATCAACATTTAAAGGTACAATATGCAGGATTTTTGCAGTAAAATAAAAACCACTAGGTCAATGTTAAAAAAAAAAACACTAGGTCAATGTTATATATTTTGTTCAGTTGATTACTTACAATATCCCAAATGTTTCCAACTACTGTTTTTGTAAATCGTGAGAAAATTGCGATTTTTAACCAAGGAAACGGGGCGTGTGAGCAGGGATGAGGAGTCGCCAGTCAATGACGTCATATCCGCGTTACCACGGTTTCCGCCGGGTTTGACCTCGTACTGCAATAGTAACCATGGCGACAGACGTGGACAACTGGGTCTGTTATGCCCGTTATGCGTGCTCAACAGAGTGAGCGTCCCTAGCAGGGTTTTGTTCAAACATTATGGACCATGGCAAACAAACTTTGAGACAAAAAGAGGACTAAAACGAAGATCAACATCTTTCGAGATGCCGAGAGCTCCACGTCCGCGACTAACTTCGACTTGACAGAGACGCGAGTGTTGCATCTTATTTAAGCAAACAGGAGAGCAAATCAATGTATATGAAACGAATTAATGTTATATAGTTCAACATGACGAAAAGTTCGAATATGATCTGTATGTTATTCTCTAATGTTAATCTAGCTTAGTCTCATACAGCCAAGAAACAACCTAATTAACAACATTCAACACACTAAAAATGTAGTGTGATAATGAAACTGTTAGAGCAAGTGAAGCAGCGCTGCGTAACCTCAAGTTTAATTCCTCTAATAAACTGACCTGTTTGAGTAAATTAGCGTGTAGTTCGGTATTAAATGTCCCTATTCCTTCATATGCGGGACTCGCGTTGTGTGTGGCGCTGGTATACGTCTAGCAATCGCACCCTGCTTCATACCACAGTCATGTTAAATACATCAATGTATTCACTCATCCATAAAAGATCCATCAGCTTGACGGCAAGATCCATAATTCCACTTAATGTGGAATATACGTCATTAATATACGCCTTCGTTATTGTAAGAGGTTAGCGACCCCTGGTGGCGAAAAAATCTTGCACATTGTACCTTTAATGTCCAAAATGGAATAATATTCAGTCCACTTTACTCCAAAGCTGCAATCCTTCATATTTATTAAAGTTTGTGTTCTTTTCATTCAAGTAAGTGGTTATGATGTGACGTCAATCTTTTATTGGTCACATGTCTTTGTATGATAAAAATTCACATCACGTCAGAGTTCACCAAACTTGAACTTTGGAAGGTAAGCGAAATTCGTATGACCTTGCATTTCCTTCCACTTACATATGCTCAATGGAACGAAAAGTGAAGTCTGGTTGTTCAATTGATGTGAACTGTAGTTAAAGGTGCACATTATGTATTTTGTCTGCACCATTTTATAAATATTAATGAATGAAATATCATGCTTTTTGTTTATTATAGTTGTAATACATAGTTAAGGCCAAATATTGGACTGAATTTATGCCAGGACTAAAAAGTCTATGAAAGTCATCAAAAAGTGTGTAAGCATGGATTCTTTCAAAAATATGAATATAAAGTTTTTTTAAGTACAAAAAAAAAAATGTTTCTGAAACTATTATGGAGCCATAGTTTTTAGGAGGATTCTGAACCACATTCGTTCAAATCATCACAATTCTCATCCCATTGTCAGATCAGACCAATAACAGATTTTTGGGTCATGACCCACCAGTTGAGACCCAGTGAGATACACAACAGCTAATAAATAATTAAGACCTTTAGGTGGAAGAGGAGAAGTCCTGTGCCTCACTGCTCAAGGGTCTCCCTCTCTTTCCATCTCCTAGTAGACTGGTATGTATTACTAATATGGAAAACACCGCACATCAAAGGTCCTTCTAATTTCCTGTGGTGGGTTAGCTAACAACAGACATCAGGATCAGATGACTGACTGAGATGAATTCAACTATCTGTCAACCAAACCGCTCTAAGAAAAATAACCCATGAGGCCCATCACTAACAGCATATCCTGTCATCAATAATTAAAAAGCAGAAGCAGTCTGTGAAGCTCAACAAAAGGAAAGTAATGTGAAATATAAAGAAATTGTGACAGGAGTATTGCCGACCCTCAGACATATTCTTGGGTTTCAGACAGGCACAAGTTCACAGCGACAATTTTGTTAGTATTTAATGTAATATTGATTTTGACTGATGCTGGTTGCTTATAACCAACCGTGTGATGACAGATATTATAAATCTATATTTTCTTTAACACAAATTCAATAGAGAAAGTTTGCGTTTCAATTACAATCAGACATCAGAACATTTTAGCATAGAAGAGAATTTTCTTTTTTAAAATGTACAATATTTTAACAAGTATTTTGATCTTTTTTTTTTCCATTAAGAACATCCTTAAAAAAAGATGCATTTACTTAATTTACTTACATTTCGATAATAATATCTCTCTTATCTCGTTAGCCCATTAAATAATAATATGGTACAGTTCAAAAGTTTGGGGTCAGTAAGATGTTTTAAATGTTTTTGAAAGAAGGCTTTTGTGCTCAAGACTGCATTTATTAAAAAAATGATGTATTCAAAAACAAATACAGTAAAAAAAAAAAACAATATTGTGAAATATTATAAGAATTTAAAATAACTGTTTTCTATTTTAATATGTTTTAAAATGTAATTTATTCCTGTGATTTGGTGCTTAAAGAACATTTCATGTTATTATGCACATTACGTTCATATTATCAATTTTGAAAACAGTTACTTAATATTTTCACGGAACCCATGATCAACTTTTTTTTTTTTTTAAATCCTTTGATATATATATATATATATAATAGAAAGATTAAAATAACGTCATTTACATGAAATACAAAAAAAAAATACTTTTGATCAATTTAAAGCATCATTGCAGAATAAAAGTATTAATTTCTTTCCACAAAAAAAAAAAAAAAATACTATCCCCAAACTTTTGAACTTCAGTAAATGAATTAATTATATTATATTTATAATTATATATTATTTTATTTTATGGAATTAATTTTTACTATGTCTAATTTTGTTTTGTTTCTCATCGCGGGCTCTAATTAATCAAATGGGACGGCCGATTCCACACACCGCTGATTAGATTTTCCGGGGCTCTAGTAAGATTTGCTCAGAGACACAGTGACAGAATACCTCCAGACTTTTCAACATTCCACTAACACAGAGCGGCTGAGCTGGCCGTACTCTCACTCTTCCACAGCCTCACGTGAACTTACTGTGTCCCTCCAAACTACTGACTCGCTGGATGAGAGAAAAAAAAAACATTTGAAGCTTTCTCAATGGCTGATATACAGCTGCGGATATATGTGCGTTCCCCTTTGTCCCTTGAAACATTCATAGGATATGAGTAAGTTGTATGATTATAGTTTACAACTAAATATACAAGGACAAGATTGAGAACCTCATGCTGTGCTACAGCCCTGAGAAGTATCCGTAGCTTGTACCTCCATATTTCAGTAACTTCCTATTTCCCTCTCAGGCCCACAGGTTCCAAACGCCTCCCTCGTGTGTATGTGATTAATATGAACGTCTGTGCACTAGCAAGCGCCCTCCATCTCTCCCTCAGAGCATTATTAAATTCTCAATCTTCTTTTGGGGCTTAAAAACTCTTATGTCAAAAGTAACATGATAGAACACCCAATATAAAACTGCTTCCTGTTCTTTAAAAATCAGTACATCCTAAACTGCACATAGTGTTTTATGGCTGAAAGTGAATACATGTGATCAGGTCAAAAAGAGGCTTAGTGTGATTTTCACTTCAAATTTTTCCATAGACCACGCAAGACAATAGTAGAAAGTGTCATATCATTGTTTTTACTTTAAAAAATATATTTTTATAGTGTATTTTTTTGGTCCTTCAGTAAATATATCTAAACATACAAATAAATGTACTTTGGAGGTATGTGTTGATAATCTAAAAAAAGTTTAAAAAATAAAATAACCAGTCTAAAACTAAATCAATAATGTAAAAGCAAAACAATAAAAAATAAGTACATAAATATAAACAATGCCAATGGAATTCATTTTAATTATATGAATATAATAATAGAAAAGAAGCAGTTTCTCAAGTAAATGATGTTAAAGCAATATTTAATCTACTCTATATATTTATAGTGTATAGTAAAACATACACATAATACATTATTGCACCACTCCAAATAAAAATAACTTATTCTGTGTGTTTGTGTGTGTATATATATATATATATATATACATATTGTTTTCCAGTTCAAATACCTAAAACTGCAGAAATACAAAATATAATGTTAAAAGTTAACTTCTCGGTCTGTCTTTCTCTCTTCTCACCTTTCACTGATATCGTCAATTCTCTGGCCATTAAAGGGCAGCATGTTGGGTGTGTGGCTGTGGCAGGGGGAAGTTGGAGCAGAAGTGTGGCCTTTCCCATTTTGGAGCGAGTGTCTTCGGCTCCGTCGTCGTTCCAAACCCCGCCTCTCAGGTGTGGCCCCCACGCTGGCTCGACGCCGACTTTTATGTCCAGATGGAGAAGGCTGAGCCTCATCATCGCCATCTTCATGACGAAGGATTGACTATGGATATAAATGACTATTAGACTAACAGCAAATAGAAAATGTTGCATTAAAGCACCACAGCTTAGGATAAATCAAGGTCAACCTGGAGTCAACATTTTTGGCACAAAAAAACATGCAGTTTTTGTGTGAAAAAATAATTTATAGTTTCATATCATTCAGTTACACTGGTGTGAATTTCAACCGCTGGATCAATCAGACTTTGTCCAATTGAAAAGCAAACTGAGCGTGTACTAACCTCATAGATGTTGAATTGCTCCACTAGATCCAAGTCTGTGCCCTTCCTGTTGACGTGCCTCTTGGCCACGGCCTCCATGCCCTGCTCCTCCAGACTGTCCACCACATCATAGAAAGAGTCCTGGTCTGGCAGACCAGCTAATGTCTGGAGGAACACCACAGATATGTGAGAATATTTATAACAAACACATGAAACTGAGAGTGTGCGAAAAGAGTCTGAAAACTTTGAAACATATACTGTGCAGGTACCTTGTTGATAAGGGTCATGGCATAAACCAATAGCTCAGTGTCCATTCCATCTTTCTCATCCAGGATTTCCATGGGATTGGACCAGGGCTTACAGCCTGGATACACATAAATAAAAGGGTCATAAACTCTTGTCCATTTAGTCAATTTAGACCTATTTATGTTTTCATTTCAAGCATTTCACTTTTTAATGAAGCCCTTTTCTTTGTTATTGACACATTCTTCAGAAGTTTTTTTCTTTTTTCTTTTATGCCCACAAAAAAATTACTAACTAACTAATTAATTAATTCTAATTCAGAAATAGAAGAGATGCATTACGGAGCCCCTAAAGGGACATATTGGTGGAAAAAATATGACATGGGAGGAAAAATAAAAAGTCAATGCTTTTGCCCCGAAAAAATTTGCATTCCATTGAAAAAAAACATATGACGTAACATAAAACGTAAAACGTTTGCAAGAGAACGCAAAAAAAATTGACAAATAATGTGTCCCTTTAGGGTCTTCGTACATTAAAGTCATTGTATGAATGTTTTTTTTTAATGTTTTCCTGAATAAATTAATATATTCTGACACAAAACTGAATGTCATGTAATTCACCCAAAAAACAATTCTTTATTTGATTGGTAGTTGATTTGAATCCCCAGAATTCAAAGGAACTGTGGATTAGTACCCTTCATGTGGTACTTGAAGTAAATCAGTTTAAATATGGCTGGTTCAGAAGCAAATGAGCAACATTAGTTTGAGGAGAAAATGTATGTTATGTAGATTATTAGCTAAAGACGTTCTGCTTCATCTGCCAGCCTGTCTGTCTCTCACTGGGAGACCAGAGACAGCCTTCTCTCCTCTTATGTAACAGTATTACCGGCAAACCTTTTTTTTTCTTCATCCTAGCAGTCTTATCTTAGTAGCTCTGGTCCTATCAACACCTTTTTTTTCCATGAGCTCAGTCCATTAATCTTGATTTACTCCTGCTGTATTTTGTCACTCTCAAAGCAGAGGTCAATAATATGAGCAATTACCAAAGAGTTGACTCAGCCAACAACAAATTCTGGTTCTCTCAAAGTTTGAACAAATGTTCTTCCAATAGTGTTAATAGAACGTTGTTAAAAGTTATCCGGTCTTTAATATTGTTCTCAAAACGTAAAAAAAAAAAAAAATCATCTTTTTTTCTTGGTGCCGAAACATTTCCTTTATAAGTTCATCTAACATTTTTAAAATGTTACTAGTTTCAGAAAGCTTAGAGAACATTAAAAAACATACCTAATGTTTTTTAATGTTTAAAGAAACATACCTAATGGGAACATTAAAAAAAAAAATGTTCTTAGGACAACAGAGAAAGTATGCTAACTGTCAGCTTCACTTGTTGTTTCCTCTCTTCTCCTGTTTTAACCTGAAGGGAACCAAACCTCCCCAGAGGAGTTTCTCCCCATCCTCTCTGTCCCACAAACATTGTAACAGCCAGACTCTGGATATGAGCTCAGCTTGGACTCAAATACAGAGACTGAATAGAGAGTTGAATAGAGCTGAAAATTGATTTCCAGAGACACTCTGACAACTTTCCAAGAGTATTTCACTTTCCATATTGTGTGTGTGTCTTTGTTTGTTTGATGTGTTCACACTACCTTGCTTCGTGTCAACGGTGTTGACAGCCTGGATGAGGAGGGGTGCGTTGGTCTCGGTGTATTCCACAAAAACCAGCAGCAGCTTCAGAGCAGTTTTAACAACCAACCGAAACTGCAAACATGTACACACACACACACACAAAGAAAGAAACACTATTTATCTCTGTACAACAACATACACTCATTTTCCTGAATTGGGTTACATGGAGGATATAGATAACAACATCTGATACATGACTGCAAACTTACAGGAAGATGAGCTACTTTAAATGTCCTGCAAGGACTTTGTGATATGACCCCTGTTTCTTTCTCTCTCTCTCTCTCTCTGTACCATGTTCCAGAAGACACATCTAAACTCTTTTTTTAGATCTAAACTCTAAAATATATGTGTTGCCATTTGTTTTTTCACCTTTGTTTTTAATCGCCATAGTTCTATTGGTTTAACATTGGTATTTATGTTTTTTTTTTTTTTTAAAGTTCTTCATATTTCGTTTAAATTGTATCCTGTTTTCCAATGTACTTTCTTGCCTGTGTTCTTTCCAGGGTTCTTTCTCACGTCTCGGTTACAACTGTAACCTTGGTTCCCTGAAAAGGACGCTGCGTTGAGAATGACGTTGTGGGACGTCCGCGTGAAGCAAGTGTGAAACCAGTCCAATGGTGTGACGAGACGTCCTAGGCGGGTGGAGTCACTACCAGGAAACTAAAAGGCCTGCCCAAAGAATGCAACTCTAGCTTCTGATAGGATAAAAAGTTGTTGACAGGCATGCAGGAAGTATGGCAGGGGGGCACAGCGTCTCATTCCTCTTTCAAGGAATCAAGGTTGTAACTGAGATGTTCCCTTTCAAGCGAACTTGCACTGCGTAGAGAATGACACTGTAGGAACGTTTATACCCACACTGCCAATTTCACAACTAATTTCACACATGCTTCATGACGCAGTCACGCCAAGCGTTCCCACAGCATCATTCTCGACGCAGCGTGAGTTCCCTTGAAAGGGAAATATACTTAATTTAATATATATATATATATATATATATATATACTCTGAAAACATGCCTTATTATCTTACAAAATTTTGCTTCAGAACTAAATATCATATATTTTTACAGGAAATAAATATTGTAAATATTTAATATTAAATACAGATATATTTAAAAAATAATTTCCTTTGCAAAAATGCATCCTTTCACCATTATAGATTGAGACAATGAGGCATGATATTTTTAGGAAAACAAGGTGAAAGGAGAGAAGAGCCCTGAAATCCAATAGACAAAAGTGAAAAGTAAATAAAACAGAAGTAAAGAAGAGCAAAAAATACAGGATCATGAATGCGATTGTGAGTATGGAGGAAAGTGGAAGAACAGCGGGAGAAACAGATCTGTGTTTAATAATGTTAGAGCTGCTCTTTTAAAGCATACGGTGCATTCCACGTGAGCCATAACAGGAAGAGAGAGAGAAGAGGCAATAGGAAATACATTTAAACACTGCTGTATCCAGCACAGAACTGCTCAAACATCTGCTGATTTGGTGATCACAAACATCCATTTCCCATTCAACCTCTACCACATACACACGCAAACAGGTTTATAAGTTTTATGGGGGATTTCCATAGACATAATGATTTTTAAACTGTACAAACTGTATATTCGATTCGTTAACCCACTTCGTATATAAGCTTTTTTCCTCATGGGGACCAAAAAATGTCCCCACAAGGACGAGGATTTCGGATATTGACCGACCTACACACACACCTGTCCTATCTAAAATGCTCATTTTTGCCACTAGAGGGCCCAGAAAGAAAATCAACCCAGAACACTGTGTGCCGTGCGAATCTGTACCACACTCTGTATGCTGGCACACCTAGAAGTTGCCCTGCTGAGTTAAAGCATGCTTTACAAACATTGGCTCAAATGAACATAAATACAGGGGGAAAACAGGAAAGTCAGTCATGAACACTGCGTGCAAAACTACGGCACCCTCTGAGAAATTGTTCAAGGTGGCACACCTTGCCTTAACTTAAAACATTTGCAAACACTGGCTAAAAAGAACATAAATACAAGAAAACGTACTTTTCGGTCCTTATTGAATTCATTACTTCTGAACAAAATAATAGATCTGGTGGTGGGCTCTCAAAACAAGTGTTTCTGATCTACTTTGAACTACTTTTTCGAAGTTTTCACGACTAGGTTTTAAAACCAATGTAAAAAATATTACCATGAAGTGCATAGGCCCAGCAATATGGAAAATTATACATCTGACATAGGAGGAATAAATGATTAATGTGTCAAAATTATATTATTTCCATTTAAATTTGATTTGAATTTTATTTATACAATCTATTTTATTTTATTTTATTAAAAGCATCGTCATAAGCATGCACCGATATTCTGGCGAGACCAATAAGCCAATAATATTCATGTTCTGACATACCATTTTGTCTAAATAAATGAGAAGTGAAACACTGAAAACCAAAATCAACCGTTTTAAATAAATTTCTTCAACTGTTTTAATCTACAATTGAATTTAGGCGTCAACACATTAATCTACATGAACAACATTCATTGTGAGATTGTCTAAAAAAATAACATTTAACAGTGTTATTAAATTATTGGTGTTTTTACAGATTAACTTTAAGTGAGCATTGATTAGATGATATAAAAAAAATATCACCAAATATAAAAAAAGGCAAAAAAGCATGCAAAACTAAATATTTAATATTGGCTGACTATATATATTTGTGGTTTGGTTTCACATTTATGTTTTCATGTCTCCTAATTTAAAATTTAGTCATAGTCATGTTTTCTGTTTCATGCCATGTGATCCTGACCAGTCTTACTGTATGTTCTTGCCATGTGGGTTCCTTTAGTTCATGGCTGAGTTTAACTCCACTTTTAGACACACTCACATATCAGGTAAGTGGATTTTTGATGTTGTGTAAATATATCAGTGTAACAAGTCAGCCACTGGAAGAAGAGTTAAATGACCCACTTGAATCACTGCAAATAAACACCATGGAGTTAAATACACACACTCATTTACAATGAAACAGTGAAATTTCCTTTACCTTTGATCCAACCAGCGTGTAAAGCCACTGTACAGTTTCATTGTGTTTGATAAGCCCATTCATTCCATCCACATACAGCATGATTTGTCCAAGAGCTAAAAGAGAGAAAGATATATATACATAATTAGGTTGCTATGCAGGTTTGAAATTATTTCAGTGCATTGTTACTGTATATGGTTGGCTGAAGTGTTCTGTATTGCTAACTGGTCCAAGTCAAATGAGCCCTAGATATTCTTGTCCTTTGTCTGCTGTATCACTGCTGTGCACATGCAAAAACACACTCAAGCTCTTAACCAGTGGTATGAAGTAATTTTGCTTCACTGTTGCATTTCAAGTGAAAATAATTTTCAAATCAATATACATTAATAGCAAAAGCTTTTATCCATATTGCATCCAAGCTATACTGATCTTTTTTATCAGATCATGTGTTCATTGGGAATTGAACCCCTGACTAGTGTCATGATTGAGGCACTGGAACACAATAAATAGTTCACTGTTTTGAAGTCAAGTTAATCAATTACATCTACTGGCATGAAATAAGAACTTTATTCCATATGTGTTAGCATGGGATTTGAACCTGATTATATCAGGAGAATGAATTTAACCTCTGGCCCACCTCACCACTGGATTATTCCTCATATGCACAAGTACATTTAGCAACTGCAAGTTCCCAACGTTTTTAGTATATTACTTCAGCAAAATTGTGTGCTTTGAAAATTATTTTCACTTGAAATGCAAAAGTGAAGCAAAACTGCTTCATACCACTGGTTACGAGCTTGAGTGTGTTTTTGCACAGCAGTGATACAGCAGAGTGGTCAGTGTTTCCATTGTCTCCTTAGCAACTCAGAGGAGGTCTTCTGGTGAAGGAAGTGTCGTGACAGAACTCGAACTATAAAGAAAACTCTTCACACGCCAATGAACCCTCACATATGTGTCCAAAGTTTCAAGTAATCAGAGTACAAACAGATACAGCCCTCTATATGTGAAGAGCAGGATTTTGTTCTGATCAAAGTGAAGAGTGTCAATGAGATCCATCTGGAGATGTCTGAATACACAATCTTCTGCAAAGAGTTATTGTAACACACACACACACACACACATTAACTCACCCGCTCCATTTAACAGGTTAACCGTTCTCAAATAAACAATTGAACTTCACACAAACTTTAAGGACTGTTACACGTTCAATCTTGACACAGAAATATATAAACACACATCTACAAAACCACATTTATAGGTTAATGCAATTCGTTCGCATTGTTGAGTGAGTGTTCTGGAATTTTTCGAGGTAGTGGAGTGTCAATTCAACAATGATTGCGGAAGCAAACTCACCTACGCTTGTTTGGATAGCCTAGTTATACAGGTGAAACTCGAAAAATTACAATATTGTTACAAAAGTTCATTTATTTCAGTAATTCAACTTAAAAGGTGAAACTAATATATTAGACGAGTGAGATATTTTAAGCCTTAATTTGTTATATTTTGATGAGTATGGCTTAAAGCATTGGGAAACCCCACATTCAAAATTAGAATATTACATTAAAAAAAGGATTTTAAATGCAGAAATGACAAGTATAATCATGCATATGTCCTTGGTTTGGGGCCCTTTTGCATGAATTTCAGCTATAAATGCAGCTTCAATGTTTTTAAATGTTGCAATTTAATACATAACCTATAATGCAATATTGGAAATTATATACAAATATTTAATAAATATTGTAAAATGCTTTTAACAATAGATTATAGATTAAACTTTGTCTAACACACATTTTTAGTTTAAATTAAACATATTTTAATTTATATATATATATATATATATAAATAACAAATTTGTTGTAAATATATACTGTACATGCACATTATACACATTATACACAGTACACACACATATATTTTGGGTGCGATTAATCACGAATGTCACTCCATGTAACAATAGCATTCAATCACATTTTATGAGATTTTACTCATAAACCAACTTTATGAGCAACCTTTACTGCAATTCATGCTGACGTCTTCATGTGAGCAGTTCTTTAAAGCGTGTTTAACAACAGTTTACTGATTTTGAGTTGCAATGGTGAATGTTGACTATAAAGGTTAGTTTCCATTTTGTGCACTATTGATGTAGAACAGGGATTAGTTTTATTAGTTTTAATAACAGAGTGCTAAAAATGCATCTTTGTGAGTACTGACACTGCCCAATGCATCTGTTTGATTCTGACCAAAATGATTTTCAATTTACGACATAATTACGATTTCCGAACTTCCATGGAGGGAAAGGCAGCATATGTTCAAGCTGAGAGACTCCGTGGACAGGCAGGAGTCATAACAAACAGACTCGCATGCACACATTGTGCAGTTTAAATATTGCTCTTGAAGCCTGAAATCTCAGCCTGTGTGGCAGTGCAGTGGGGAAAACATTTGAGCAGGCTGATCCACCCAAGCGTAACATGACTTCCATTTGTAGCAGGACACGTAAAGCAGGTCATAACAAGAGCTCAGGGAACTCCATAGGAGGCCACTAAAATCACAGAGCTTCCATTTGACTGGAAAGACTGGAGGAAGAAATAAAACAGAGAGCACTGACAAAGACACAAGCAACAACGGTTGAAGGTCACTGTGACTTTCTGAGCCTTAGTTCAGCTAAAGAAAGGTTCGACAGACAGATAGGGTTATTTTTGTCAACCCAAACACTGATTTGAGCCTTTTCCGTAATTTTTTGGGGTTACTTTTTCAGTGTTTGGGTAGTTTTTGTGTTAGCCAGCTCCTGGGTCAGACGTAACAACCCAACAGTTGAGTTATTTATTTATTCATTCATATAAGTAAGGTGCTGTAAATCATTTCATTTTATGCAAAGCAACATACAGGACACGATGTGAGTCACCTAAATTAGTGTTGAATCAGTGTTTGAATCAGTAATGGGCATGTTATGGAGTCATATGTTAGCTTTGAGTGAAACGCAGAACGGTCTGAAGTGAGCAGTTGCCCACAATTCCAGCTCTGGCACGAGAACCAGCACCGCAACGGAGAGAGACTGGTCGATTACACTTTAATTAATTCTAGAAGTTTCATTTCTACTTTGTAAAACAAGTTCCCTTTCAGTCGATAATGTTGGACGTAGTCGATGGTCGACTGAATGGGGATTGCGTCAGAGAGCCTATGTTCTTCGAGTACTACTGAACGAGCCAATGTAACTAGCGTGTGTGTTTCACATCACACACTCCGTCCCCGTGCACGGGTATAAATACGTGGATGCACGCACTAGTTGTTTTTCACTTCGGAGCTGTTCGTGTTGATGTATCTAAAGAGTGCTGGTGATTTCAACGAGCGAGTGTGTCGGTGTCCTTTTGGAAAGACTCTCCCAGTGCTGGTGTTTTCTATAGTGCAGTGCAGCGGTGGTTGTGAGCTTTTGAGCTCTGAACTGCTGTTTTAACAATAAGGCAGATTTTTTTTGTGTTTGTTTGTTTGACGGCCAGTTGAGGACAAGAAAGTGAGTGCTTCGTTGTTTTTCAGTTCTCTGAATTCAGTGTTGCTGCGGTCATTCAAGTGTGCTCCGGCACTGCTGACGGGTCCCTTTTCTGAAAGAGAAACACGGGTGCGTTTGCGTCTTTTTCAAGATGCCATTCCATCCGTGCGTTTCTGGGTGCAGTAGGGCTCTGTCCCCCTCGCACGAGAGTTGTATCACGTGTTTGGGCCTTAAAGCATGCTGAGGCAGCTCTTGTGGACGAGTCATGTTCTCATTACGGGAATAAGACCACCTCTGTGCTAAGGTCAAGACTCGCTTTCCGTTGTGAGAATGAAGGGAGAGTCCCCATCCCCAGGCCCTGCTCTAGTGTCCCTTCTGGGTCATCTTCCCAGAAGGGCTCTGGAGTGCCATCTGGGCTGGGTGACCTGAGGATTACAGTGAGGGGTAATCCGCCCGGCAAATCGGAATCGCAGCATCGGATGGGGAGCTGATGACTCGGCTGTTGCCCGAGATGGATCCAGAGAAGACAGCGATGACAAGGCATTCACAACGAGGGCATTTTAATGCAAAATTGTAGCACTCTGGGTTCGGGCAAAAAATTCCGAGGTTGGAGCCCTCCCCCCGGACAGCACGCCAAATACGCATAATCTTTACTCTGTTTAATTGATGTAAATGTGAACTCGTGAAATGCTAATTCTGGCAAACAGACGATCAGGTAGCAACACACACTAACCAAGAAGGTGAATAGACAAGGAGTGACTGAAAAGGAAGAACTTATTTAGGAACACAAACTAGGTGACGAGCAAAATAGCTGAACAGAATTGACTCATAATGAGGTGATCATGATAACTAAGAAATGGCGGGAAAACTGAATGTCCATGATAACTGAAATAGAACAGAACAGACTGACATAAAAAATGGCTTTTATATTAAAAAAAAAATTATACTGGGTTAAATAAACAAACCAATTTATTGGGTAAAATTGGTCTAACAGTTCTATTTGCCCAGCCCTTGTGCTAAAAACAACTCAAATTGGTTTGTTTTTAACCAAGTAGGTTTGTACAGATCATCATTCAAATACTAAAATCATTTTAGCAAAATGGGGTTCGTCCAGAGATTGACACACTGTCTTCATGCCAGACCGTTGAAAGAAAGATGAGCTCTACTGGACTCACACAATGAGGTTGTTTGATAAATAGCATACCTTAAGTCTGACTGAATGCGTATACATGGACAGAGGCTTAAAAGAGGAGTCTAAGCATTCACACGCTCACCAGCATTTGCATATAAAATTTCAAATCAGCAATAAAACATCAGTAAAACCATAGCATTAAGTTAAACAGACAATGAGTCAGTGACAAAAGGCAGTGTCTAACACATGCCAAGTTCTTAAAAATGGGCTCTTTGTATTAAGGGCAGTTTGTTTTCATATCCCAGACAGCAAACTGACATTGAATCAACGTGGAAACGACGTCTCTCATGACATTGAAACAACGTTGATTTTGCTCATCGAATTAACGTTGAACCAACGTCAGACGCGGCATTCTTCAAAACTAAATGAAAATCGAAAATTGGTTTGCTTTCATAACGTTGAAACAACGCATTGATTTCAAGTTGATTTTCCGTTAGTTT